TGGATGTAAAAGTCCTGCAGATTTCTCTTTGATTAATTTGCTATCTGCATGCAAGCAGGGGCATGATTATGTTTGAAAGAAGGAATTGATGTTGTGCTGTGCAGAGAGGATTTCCCATCAACCTTTGATAATATTAATTTCATTTTAAAAAATCATTAAAGCCTGGCAAGCTATCCGTGACGTATTTGATATGCCATATGCCAAACACAGTAACAAGTCTCATGATGGAGACGTTACTGGGCCCACTCGAGCAAAATCGATGAACAACGGGAGGACAGTGACAGTGATTAAAGAACTGTGATTTACACAGTTACTGGTGGTAGCGTTTAAAACATATAATATTTCAACCAGTCCCACCACCAGTGTCAATTTCCCACCATCATTCTTCCCAGATTCCTTCTCCACCTCAACCGCCACTCCACCCAAGCCTGTTAAGTTGACAGGCCCATTACACAGTTTCAGTGGTTGCAGCTTAGATCTCATGTCCTCAGTTTTGTGAAGCCTGTGTTTTGGATATCTGGTTAACACACTTGTCGGTATCACCAGGATAATTGAAGCCCTTCACCCATTACTTCCGGTTCTTGTCTTCCCCCTTTGATTTCTTCCCTCCTCTGCTATTCCTATATTTAAACACTGGGCTCAAGGATGATCTAGACATCCCCTTTTTTACTAAAGTACATTTCCTCATGCAATATTCTGTATACCAATAATTACACTAATTTCAGGCATAGAAGCTCAGACTAATCAGAGGAAGTGAGCCTATTCAGTGGACTTCAACAAAACTGAATTTATCCTGTAAAAAAAGACCTTTTGTGTTATCATTCCTTTCACTTCTGTATAGCACTGCTGTAGCACTGTCCTCCCGTTGTTAATTGATTTGCTCGAGCGGGCCTAGTAACGTCTCCATCATGAGACTTTTTGTTACTGTGTTTGGCATATTGAATACGTCATGGGTAGCTTGCCAGGCTTTGCCATGCGGGTGAGATACTCTCAGTAGCTTGCTGGGCTCTCCGAGAGGGGCAGAGGAATCGAACTCGGGTTGGCCGGGTCAATCACGTGCAAGGCAAACACCCTACCCACTGTGCTATCGCTCCAGCCCACTTCTGTATATTAAATTGTAAATCACACAACACATTACAGTATTTGCTTTAGCAATTAATTTTATTTTAGAAAAGATTAACTAAATGAAGAACATGGTTCTTGTATTTACCCAAGTGTTTTCCAGATTAAGTATTCTTTATCCTTCTATATCATGTACATGGATTTTCTTTACAATTTGTTTAGTAAAGCTTTATAGAATTTTATCTGAAAAAATTATTTTGCCTTTTTCAGCAAGTAAAGACTTAAAGATCAGCAGTGTTGTGTTTAGTTGTTGAATAATTTTTTGTTGCTAAAATCATTTTTTAAATGTTTAATGTAATCTGCATATTTTAATGGCCTGCATTGAAGACCTAACTGTTAATTTTCAGTTAGTCTTCACACAGTTTACCGTCAAGGCTGTACCAGATGATATTCCTATAAAATGTGGATAAAGATTCCTTTTACTTTTCTTATATCTACCCAGTACTGGTTCTTTCTATTTTTGTTGATATGTCCCAGTCTCAGTGAGGTATGAGGTGATACCTTATTGGCATTTTGATTTTGATTCCCTGATGATCAAAGATGATGAACACTTTTTTCATATGCTTATTAAACATCTGAACTACCTGAAAATATATTTATGCTATACATCACAAATTCTTACTTGTTGAATACTGAGCAATTTGTATTCTATAAATATTCTTGGGCTTTATTGGTTGGGTATAAATGAAGTACTTAGAATTACTTGAAAAAAGTCCTACTTAAGAGGGGCAATGACCTACGAGCCTCAGGTTGCCGACCCCAGGGATCACTGACAGATATTCCTCTGGAAGTGCTCAGGTCAGGCGTCAAACTTAGAGCCTTGTTTATGTCAGACACATGCTCCAACCCTCTGAGCTATATCATCGACCCAAAAATAATTTGATTGTTGGCTTCAACCCTCTGAGCTGTATCATTGACCCAAAAATAATTTGATTGTTAGAGGGACAACCTTTTTAAGATTTGTTAGGCAGAACCAATTATTTTTATAGAGAGGTACTGTTACAGAGCGTCATTATTATTATAGGGTTAATTTTTCCCGTCTACAAAAGCAAAACTCTCATACTCTATCTAATGATTTGTGAGTTGTGAAGATGCTCTATTCTGGTGGGTGAACACAAATAGGATTCTTGATTCTCTGTGAAATCTAGGAATTGTATTTTCTAATCCTAATTTCTTCCTCATGCTGAAATCTGTATACTAATCACCATTCAACTAATTAATGAAAGAAAGCTCCTTGTCAATTACTCAAAGTGAACCTTCTGCAGATCTCTGGAGTTCTTTCTTAGTGCAGCTTTTTCATCTTTTGGTGATTTTCTCTCTATGTTCAATCCACCTGGGACCCCCAGACTACCATTTCTATCTTCTAAATTCATATAAACTGCCAGGATCTGCACTGAAGCCTAAAAAAATTTTCCAGAAAATAAAATATGGCAATTGTAGAAATCGTCTTCTTGTATTCCCACCTCCTGGGATTATCATTTGGTACTGTTAACATTCGGAAACCATTGTTTCATATATTTGTCCAGTGTTTTAGTTGTCTTTGGTGGGAGGATAAATATGGTCCCAGTTACTACAATTAAGTTTGAATAAAAGCAATTATCTTAACAAGTGAATAATATGATGGTATTAAAGCAAGTCAGGGTAAAATAACCAATGGAAAGGACTTCTCACATTTATCTTATAAATTATATATTTCAGTTTTCTGTAAGCTTTTCTCCGGTGATAGTTTTAATAATCCTCATGGCTATTAATTGCATTGCCCTTCCTCTTGGTCTCAATGCTTTTTAAAAATCGAATCCGATTCTATATTTATCTTAACTTGCTCATCCCTGAGGTTTTCTGTTTCTGTGTGTAATTGAGGTTAGATCTCCCTATAGGGTTTTGTCCAGTAACAAATTATGTTTTAAAATTTTTTTATTGAATCACTGTGAGATAATTACAAGCTTTTATGTTTGAGTTTCAGTCATGCAATGATCAAACACCCATCCCTCTACCAGTGCACATCTTCCACCACCAATGTTCCCAGTATCCTTCGCCCCTATCCCAACCCTACCCCTGCCTCTGTGGCAATTTCCCCCACACTCTCTCTCTACTTTTGGGTATTATGGTTTGCAATGCAGATACTACAAGGCTATCACATTTGGTCCTTTATCTACTTTTAGCACACGTCTCCCATCCCTAACATGCCTCCAACCATCATTGACTTAGTGATCCGTTTTCTATTCCAGCTGCCTTCTCCTCCAGCTCATGAGGCAGACTTCCAACTATGGAGCAATCTTCCTGGCCCTTGTCTCTACTGTTCTTGGGTGTCAGTCTCATATGAAGTAACAAACTATTTTCAAAGACCTTGTCCTCTGAAACTTGAGAATGGAGCTTACACACCTTACTCAGCAGCTCTGCTTCTCAGACTCTATCCTAATGTCATCACAAGACCCTTTGTAACATAGATACAGACGGAGTGTGGCCTTTGGTCTAACCCACTGTCTTTAGGAATGATGGGTAGCTCCTTTAGACCACAGCCTATCTGCCAGGACCTGCTAGACTTTTCTCTAGCTCACTGACCTATTAAGAAATGATTTCTTTCACTGCTTCACACTTTGGTTCTCTGAACAAACATGGCATTAGTAGCATTTCTTCCTCCTGAAAGACATCATTGTTAAGGTTATGCTGAAGGTTATAACACTGTTGCTTAGCGTTATAACACCTGAGTTGGATTTTCCATTGCTAGTCTTCTTTTTTACTTTTTCATGTATTTTATGTGAGTTGCACAGTCATACAAGTAAGAGACTATTACTGATCAGCCTGGATACAGAGATGCTGGGAAAAGAGATAATACTTAAAGTGCCTCAAAAAAAAGTGCAGTCCACATTAAAATGCAGGTGACTAGCTTTCTGGCTAGTTATAATTTTATATTTCTGAACAGAGAGTGAAAGCATGGAAGTCTTGCAACCTGCAATCAAGAAAAAATTCAGAGAGAAAAACTTACTCCATTCCTATGCTATAATAAGCCACTTTCTGCATTTTTCTTAATCCAACTGATTAGGATTGTAATTAGTCAAACTTCTTCACTGTATTCAGAAAACTGTTGTCAATTCAGTTTTGCCATCTGAGTGGTCATCTTTTTATTTATCTTTAAATGTATTTGAGATGAAAAATACATTTATTTATCTTTAAATGTATTTGAGACGAAAAATGTGAGAGGCCAAAATCCATGTGCCTGGACATTTGGCATCCCAACAGAAATAATCTTTGCAAATTGGGTATCTTCCACCAAAATAGGCTCAGTTTATCTGTCATCTATTGAAATTACTAAAATCACTTTCTTATTCTCTGAAACTTTGCAGGTAAATTTCTTTCAAGGGTATAGACTCTAAAAACAGTTAGACAGGGTCCATTTAAAGAAACTACCAATACCAACCAGATTTTTAGGATAATAATTTGATTTATGAGCCAAAAGCTTTTGAAGATGTTTTATGAAGATAGATATTTTAGGAAGATAAATATTTTATATGTAGTTCTTACTTCCAATGTAAAATGTATAGTGCCTGAACCAGGGAGAAAGTATAAGAGGTAGAGAGCATAAGCTTAGGGCCTAAGGGTCTGGCTTAGAATTAGGCATCACATAGCCCCTTGGTGGCCCCTACTAACATCTGTCAGGGTAGCACTGCCTCACAGAATCAGAGATCAAACCACCTGGCCTCACTGTTGGTTTGTCACCAGAAGTGATCCCTGCCGCCCCCCCCCCCCCCCACCACCACCAGGCCCGAGGCACTGCACCACCAGAGGTGAGGTCTATTGTAACAAAAAGATTGAAAAACACAGTTTAATATTTATCTCACATGAAATACCCTTTAATGCTTTCCTTTTGTCTGTCACAGGTTGCACAAGCTCTGAGAAGGAAGTGCCAGCTAAGGACCAAGTGGCTGTGACCACCCTGGAAAATGCTGCCACTCCGTCTTCAGGCTCAGGCTCCCCCATAGTGTACCTGAATGATGTCGCGTGTTCCCTGTCCCTGCTGGAGACCGGGAGACCTCAGGATAAACTGGAGTGTAAGTACATGCCCTGTCTAGGGATGCAGCTTTTCCTTAAAGGAAGTTCTAGGGCCTGAGCTTCATTCTCAGCTGGAGATGGAGCTGAGAATGCTCACACATAAGGATTCTGCTTCTTTGGGGAGGTTGTCTGTCCTTCAGCAAAGATATCAGTTTCCTAGGATCCACTTGGGGACACAGAACTGTACATAGAGTGGGAAATGCAGCTGAGTCCTTTGCACTCAGGAACATCATGTGGGAAAGGAAGACTCTGCAGAGCATGAAGAGTCCCTTCCTTTGCCAGCAGGACTTGAAAGTCCCCAAGCAGAATAGCCACTGTCCCCTCTTAGTAGCTATTTCCAGGGATGACATTCAACATGTATTCTTTCCCCTCACCTGTCCTCAAATAGCTCTTCAATTCAGAAAGGTTCTGTTATTAAGATCTAATCAACCTCGATATTAAAGTTCATTTCCATTTCTCCTCCCATCCAGTCCCCGGTATTTGGCCTCCAAAGAAAGAGGGCTTATTAATAAAAGGAGATGAACTCGGTTTCACCATGCTACTGATGCTGGTTTTAAAAATCTATCTTCAGGAAGAGAGTAATAATTTTGGGTCAGGGAATCATAGAAAAGTTCACAATGACTAAAACAGCTTGCCTTCAGGTAGATTTCCTCAGAGATGATCTCACTAGCTCTTAGTCCACAGCAAAGTTTAAAAGCAGGATTTAGGGGACATAGTAAAGCATTTGACCTTGCATGTGAGAGGTCCTAGGTTTGGTCTCCAGGATTTTGTGTCCCCGTCCCTCCCCACCCCCACCCCCCAGTGCCTCCAGGAGTGACTTGAGTCCTGAGCATTGCCAGGAGTAGCCCCTGTAAAAATAATAAAATAAGGGCTAGAGAGAGTGCAAGAATGAAGGCACTTGCCTTACATGTGACTGAACCCAGCTCAATCCCTGGCACCACATGGTCTCCCAAGCATAGGCAGGTGCAACCCTCAAGTCTCCCCAGACATCACCTGGTTGACAGTGGAGGCACCTGCGCACAGCAGGGCCCAAAGAACCTTCTCAAGCCCTTCCATTGAACTCTCTGGTTAGCCAAAAATCACCGAGAGGGGTTCCTCAGGCCTCCTTGAGTGAGCCTTTAGAGTAATAATACAATTAAAGAATAATACAATTATTCAAGAATAATTATTCAAGCCTTCAATAATAATACAATTAAATAAAAACCGAGGATGATAGGATCTTGTTTTAAGTTGAGTAGTGTTTGGACTTCCCTTGAGGCTTTGATAAATATCAAGAGGAAAACACATTCTTATAACAAAAGTCAAAATTCCAGTTGATAATTAGACTAGTCAACGAAACTTAAACATTATCAAAGGAAAGTTGGGCCAAGGTCAACCTTTGCCAAAAACAAAATGAAAGTTTGCTCATTAGCTGAGCTAAAAAATCTTCCCAAAGTTTGCATTACTAACAACTGCAGGCTTAAAGTGCTAATTAGGAAGCAAATATAGTAAATGTCTATGTCTTCCAGTTAATGTTAGGAGTGAAATGTCAAATTATGCACAGCATTTAACTGGATGTTGAGTATCAGGGATATATTGCTTACAGCTATAAGAGAGAATGTGCTAATGTTTCGTATTAGTGACTCTTAATATAGCCTCTATTTGTAATGGAAGTAAACATAAACTGTATTAAAAATAACATGGTATAGAAAATGTCAAACATAGATAAAAGAAGAATAAGTTTTAGCTATATCAAACATAAAAAAATAGGTATTTCCATATACTTGGCACCCTGCTTTAATAATTATCAGTTTATAGTCAATATCATTTTAATTATACTGCTTACTATTCAATCTGCAACAGATTATCTATCTTGAAGCAATAGTTCAAACATCATATTATTTTATTTGTACATATTTCATCATGTATTTCTAAAAAGCACTTTTTATTAAATGCATGCACAATAACATTGTCACATGATTAAAAAAACATGATTTCTGTTATCAAATACTTAGTCAACATTTACATTTCCCCAATTGTCTTGTATATTCAAAGTTAATTATTTGAATGTACATTGGCTTATGGTTATGATTTTTTCCATCTCTTATTAATCTTTGGTTCTCTCACCATCTTTTTTCCTTGGAATCTGTTGTTGTTGCAGAAAAAGTCACTCACATATCCGGCAGTGTTTTTATCTTAACTCATTTTGGATGGGGGTAGGGGCAGAGAATATGGCCACACCCAGTGGTGTTCAGAGTCTACTCCTGGCTCTGTGCTTAGGGATCTCTCCTGGAGGTACTCAAGGAATCATATATGGTGCCAAGGATCGAATCAGGGTCTGCAGTGTACAGGGCAAGTGTGTTAAGTCCTGTTCCCATCTTAATTCACTTAAAAAAAAATTAAACCAAATTAATTTTATTTATCTTCTGATTTTAATGATTGAAAACAGGCCGTTCTTTTTGCTATGCCAAAATGTATCAACTGGGAGGTATGGATGTATTGACCTGCAAGCCCTGCTATGGCCAATGTCATAAAAAACAATAATAATGCTCATCTTGGGGACCTTATTTCTGCTGAGCTGTTTGATTCATTATCTTCTTTTAACCTACAAAAACTCTAGATATGATAGGATTATTCTCATTTTACATAAGAGAGAGTACAGAAAGCCTCAATGTTAAGCCCCAGGCCTTGCACTAAATGAGCATTTGACTGCTGAAATTTCTTTCCCAGACTTCCTTGTCCTACCTCACCTCCCTACAACTAGAATAAGATAGAGGATGGTTCTGAAGAGCATATTGACAGTTTATAAAAATAAATATAATATAAGCTACTTCATAGCATTATGAGGATTAAATAAAATGATAAAATACTCAGGGCAACACATGATACATATTAGATTCCATATATAAGCATCAGTGAGAGAAAAATAATACTTTTCAAAAACACTTTTGTTTTTATTTTCCTTGGACAATAAATCTTACCTTTCATTTACTTATGAATCTTCATAAACTAGAAAAATTCAACCTGTATTCACAAATTGACTTTTAAAAAAAAAGAATCTATTCTTTTGCAAACCACAACACCCAAAAGGAGAGAGAGAGAACAACAGGGAATGCCCTGCCACAGAGGCAGGGTGTGATGGGGGGGGATGGGGGGGAGGGATACTGGGAACCGTGGTGGTGGAAAATGGCACTGGTGGAGGGATGGATACTTGATCATTGTATAACTGAAACCTAAGCACAAAAATTTGTAAGTCTACGACTGTACCTCATGGTGTTTCACTAATAAAAAATTTAAAAACAAAAAAATCAAAAAAAGAATCTATTATAATATCCATCTTTCAGGTAAAGGTAAAAGGTAAAGGCCCTCCCGTTGTTCATCTATTTGCTCGAGCGGGCCCAGTAACGTCTCCATTGGAGACTTTGTTGTTACTGTGATTGGCATATCGAATACGTCACGGGGAGCTTGCCAGGCTCTGCCATGCGGGCGAGATACTCTCGGTAGCTTGCCGGGCTCTCCGAGAGGGGCAGAGGAATCGAACTCGGGTCGGCCATGTTGGCTGAGTGCAAGGCAAACGCCCTACCGCTGTGCTATCGCTCCAGCCCATCTTTCAGGTAAAGAAACTAAATCCAGGAAGTTAGATGAATTATTTGACACCTAAAAATGGGAAATCAGGGGGCCGGAGCAATAGCACAGCGGGTAGGGCATTTGCCTTGCACATGGCCAACCCAGATTTGGTCCCCGGCATCCCCTATGGTCCCCCAAGTACCTCCAGGAGTAATTCCTGAGTGCAAAGCCAGGAGTAACCCCTGAGCATTGCTGGGTGTGACCCAAAAAGCAAAAAAAAAAAAAAAAAAAGATGGGAAATCAGCTCCAGGTTTGGAATCTAACTCCACACTCTGTACTATAGAAGCAATGGTCCAGCTAGAATTCTCGTGCCTGTATCCCACCACTAGCTGCCATTGGCTTTGAGCTGTAGTAGAAGGAAGCTGAGCAACAATGTTCATACGCTACAGGAAATCATCTCCTTGACCACAGCTGGATAGGCCTGGAAGTAGAGAGCTTGATTCTCCTACTCATCTCCGTCCTGTAATAAAATCAGACTGTGCCTTGGGTGTGAGTGAACTGGCTATGAACCCTTCATCCCTTTATGGTCAGAACTGATTTAAAAACAGGGCCATCAAAGCATCAGGCAGTTTGCCCTTAGAACCTGGAGGACTCCTCAAGCCTCACCTTTGTGTGTGTTTCTTGCAGTCATGTTTCATCTCTATGATTTGGATGAGAATGGCCTCCTGGACCAAGCGGTAAGCTCTCACTCTGAGACCTGAGCAAGGCTGGGGGGGAAAGAGGGAGGGTCTGACACCCTCTCAGTACCTTCTCTTTAGGAGTAAGCAGTCTCAGTATGGGTGGCAGAAATCTAAGCAGAAACCCCCTTACACACACACACACACACACACACACACACACACACACACACACTCCTACTTCCAGCCTGGAGGATTGTCAACTCCAAGTTGCTTTTTCATTTCAGAAGAAGAGATGGAAAATCTCAGAAAGGAGAGATGTACCTCCCCTCGTTTCATTTCCCAATCAGTTCAGAAATTACCTTCGTAAATTCTTGCTGGAGACAGGGGCAGAAGGGAAATGGGAAGAAGGGAAGGCAACAAGACCTGGGTTAGAAGTCAGGATGAAGTCAGGTGACTGCTGATGTGCACTGACGCCCAGTCTTGCCACTCGATGCACCAGGGAACACCTGTGAGGAATAGGTCAGGTATCTTGGAGTGAGAGAGAAATAGAAAAAGGAAGAAGGTGGGGGTGGGTGGGAGTGGGGGTTGGGGGACAGAGGCAGATAGAGACCAGCAGGCTCGTCATCACCCATCATTAACAGAAAAGCTCTGAAGTTGATTACATGAAGCTGAGTGTGAGTCAGACAGATCTGAAGGAGGAAGGAAGACCAATGATTCATCCCAATCCCTCTAAAGTCCACGGTGCCTCAGGGCTCCTGACTGCCACTCTTGCCTTGCTGGGCGTGGGTTGTGTGAGAATCACAAAGTGTCAGACACTTGACCAACAAATATTTACTGAGCCTCTACCATATGGCAGGTGCTCTTTCAAACACGGGCAGCTGTCAGCGAAGACAGCTGACAAAAGTCCGTGCCTTCATGAAGCTTTCTTTCTGGAGTGCGCACACATGCTAGGAAGCAGAGTATGCGAAGGCCGGAGGGGTGACATGTGTGTCAGAAGAGAAGACAAGGAAGCTAAGAAAGCATTTTGGTGAAAACTGTCATTTTTGCCAGAGAAGTCAAGGATCCCCCCCACACACACGCCCTGAAGGGGCTTCCAAATGGAAACTTGAAAAGGGTGAGGAATAAGTCAGGGGGCTCTGGGGGGCACACTTTCCAGGCAGAGGGAAACTGTGGTGGGAAGGACCTGAGGGGCACCTGAAAGATTGTTCAGAGAACCAGGACACAGTGGCAGGAATAGGATAAAGAAAGGATGAGTGAGAAGCACAAGCTGAAGGCAGAGAAGTAATGGGTTGGGGCTAGGGGAGTTTGTGAAGTTGCTTGAGTCTTCTAGGTGATGGAGAAGGTGCCTGTTTGCTTCGGGAGAAACAGAGCCATCGGAGATGCTGAGTGGAGGAGCAGCAGGATAGACTTGTGTCCCAGCAGGGTCACCCGAGCTGTGGGCTGGCAACCAAGGCTCTGAGTTAGGAGGCCCCTGAAATCCTCCAGACAGGAACAGATGGTGTCTGACTCTGCACTAGTGCACTAGTGCACTTGAGAAATGCTTCATTTCTGGACATAGTTTTGAAGGTGGTATCCGTGGGCTTCGGCAAATCTCAAGTGAAATCCCAGATGAAGTTCCCTCTTGCCCCCAGAAGGCCGGGCAGGTGACCTGCAGCCTCTATGAGAACAGTCTCAGTGTCAGGGAATTCAGCCTTGACTTAAAAATAGATCCTACCTTTTGGGGTTCACCTCAGGAAGGGCGTCCTCCTGCCTAAAGGTACCCCTAGCCTTCAGGGGAAATTTTTATAAACAGAAAATCTGATTATTTTCCTCTCCTTTTCCATATCCCAAGTCAGTTGTGAACACCCAAATAGACAAGTCTTAAAGCCCAAAGAGGCCTCCCCTCATCCCTCCAGTTACCTCTGCCCTCGGTTGTTGACCAGGACAGTTGACCCATGGGATATTGATTCACACAACAGACTCTTCTGAAGACACTTCCACATATGTCCCGCTTGTCAAGTGTGCTGTATTAGGCGGTGTTCGGCTGCAAATCAAACATCGCCAAGATCAAGTTTCCCAGTTCTTACTTGCTTTTTTTTTTTCTCAACTCAGGCTCTAGTTTGTTGATACTATTCATAAAAGCAGGCACAGTGGGGCTGGAGCACAGTGGGCAGGGCATTTGCCTTGCACTCGGCCAACCCGGGTTCAATTCCCAGCATCCCATATGGTCCCCCAAGCACCACCAGGAGTGATTCCTGAGTGCATGAGCCAGGAGTAACCCCTGTGCATCACTGGGTGTGACCCAAAAAAGAAAAATAATTAAATTAAGGGGGTCGGAGTGATAGTACAGTGGATAGGGCGTTTGCCTTGCTTGTGGCCAACCCGGGTTCGATTCCCAGCATCCCATATGGTCCCCCGAACACCGCCAGGAGTAATTCCTGAGTGCAGAGCCAAGAGTAAACCCTGAGCATCGCTAGGTGAGACCCCAAAAGCAAAAAAAAAAAAATTAAATTAAATTCTTCTTCTAAAAAAAAAGAAAAAGCAGGGACAGAATCAAACCCACCCCTCCATGACTCTTTAAGTGTCCACATATGGTCCAGACAAGCGACATAGACATATTCAAAGAACTGGTTCTTTCAGAGATCTTCCCACTTTGTTATCAAGACTGACTCTTCTTGATTCCCGAATCACACTGTTCTCTCACTGAGTCTTGGATTCAACAAGATTCACAAACTGTTCTATCAGAATTTATGCCAAGTCCTGGCTCCACCTACATGCCCATTTCCTTCCATTCGTCTACTATCCCTTTCTGCAGTTTTCTACTTAAAAATTATATAGACACCTCCCCAGCAGTGCTCAGGGCCCCAGGGGTCACTCCCAACACTGCTCACCCCAAGGATTCAGACCTGACAATTCAACCCAGAGGCCTGGTGGGGACCACTGATTCAGACAGCATCACGCAATCACAGGGATTGAACTCAGGGCTTCACACAACACAGCATAGTTTCCCTCCCTTTGAACTACCTCAATCCCTCTTTATAGGATTTGGGGGTGTTGAGTTTGGGGATTTTGTTTTGTTTGTTTGTTTGTTTGTTTGTTTTGGAGCACACCCAGTGGGTACTCAGGGACTACTCCTGGTTCTGTGATAAGGAGTCACCTATGGCAGGATGCAAGAGACCATAAGTGGCTCCAGGGACTGATCCGGGGTCAGCTGTGTGCAAGGCCATGCCTTAACCCCTGTTCTAGCTCGCTGATCCTAAGGGATTCTTTTTTTTTTTTTTAACATAAACAAAACCCCATTTTAACTGTTTGGTTTTAGCTCATGTATTTTGACCATGCTTTCCTCCAAGTAGAAGTAACACTTTTGAATCTTGCTTCAGTTTGCCGGTGTGCCCTGCATATAAAGTATACTTTCTTCGATGGTGTCCAAGTGATGCAGACCCCTCCCCAGTGCAGTATGCTTTTGTGGAACTCAGACCGCTGATTCATAAGCATCCAACATTTCTGTGAGATTTTAGATGGAGACTGGTCTTGGGACCAGATGAAAGGCTCACTCATCATCCTGCTCATTAATTTCCTATTCACAGAGTCCTGGGCTCACAGCTGGACATGGTACAAAGGAAACAGAGGAGATGCCAAAAAAGAATCTTAATCACAGTGCCAGAGCTAGGACCAATACAGTAGCCCCGCACCTGACTGGAACTGGTCCCTGGGGGTATAGCTATGTTGTGAGTTGCTGAAACTGTGAAAATAAAAAGTGAAAAGGGGAGGAAGAGGGAACCTCCTTGTAAGTATTTATAGGTTCTTCATGAGCTTCATTCACAGAAAAGGAGAAAATGGCGGTGCTTTCTCTGCTGTGTAAGTCAGAGGGGGAGAGATGAAGGTCTGTTCCATTAGAATTTATGCCAAGCCCTGGCTCACCTAGATGCCCGTTTCCTTCCATTTGTCCATTATCCCTTTATGCAGTATTCTATTCACCCATGATCCCTTTATGCAGTTTTCTACTTTAAATAATTGCATAGAGACCTCCCCAGCAGTGCTCAGAGTCCCAGGGATCACTCCCAATAATGCTCTAGCCCAAGAGAAGGTCTATGCTCTGTGAATCTTCTCTATTCCCCTGGCATATCTATGTTCTGTGTCTCTTGTGAGCATCCCACCTCCTCTGAACTATGTGAGCAAGGCAGAAGGAGCAGAAACAAATGAGCTCAAGAAACAGGGAGTGACGCGGCTGTGTCTAACACTCTGCCCTGCCAGGCTTCCGCCTTGGCTTGCTGATGAACCTTACTCCCCAATGCACGTCTCAGCTGCTTTCTCCCCTGGATGCTTTCTAGGAGATGGACCGTATCGCCAACCAAATGCTACACATTGCCCAGTATCTGGAGTGGGATCCCACGGAGCTCAGGCCGGTAAGTTTCCAGAAGTATGGTGGTACTTCCCAGTGAATTTCCAAGATAAGAAGGAACTCAACAGAACTAGAATGCAGATATTTCCAGGAGGGGCTCCCCCAGACTCAACTTGTGTGGGTGTCATTCAATTTATTATACCTGGCCTTTTTAACCAGAGCTAAATTTTTATAATAGAATTTCCTAGATCAAGGAATTCATAACTAGAAAGAATTGAAATTTTCTTTCAGTCACTGAGAATATTAATAGCAATGGCAATAATTATACTTAAGTACTTCTAATTTTTATAGGCATTTTATATCCAATTCCTCTAATCCTCAACATAATTCTGCTAATGTAGCAATAGTATTTCTGTTTCACCTATGAACAAAGCAGAACCCTGGAGTCATGGGAGGAAGGCTGTGGGGAAGATGATTTGCTCATGGCCACACAATCAGATTGAGGCAAGGTTGGGAGGAAATCCTGAGAACCTCATGACATTATTCCAAATTCCTCCTTTGCAGCTCTGCTCACACTGAACTGGTGTTAAGGAGTTAAACTCAAACCACACTGTACAGAACTAACAAGAAGGAACAGGGTGGGGAGATAGAGAAGTGGAGAATTAAAGTGGACAATTGTTGCTTTCTGAATTCCACAGATACTGAAGGAGATGTTGCAAGGGATGGACTATGACAAGGATGGTTTCGTGTCTCTAGAGGAATGGGTTCATGGAGGAATGACCACCATCCCCTTGCTGGTTCTCTTGGGCACGGATGACTCTGTAAGTCAGCAGGCTGCAGTTTAGAGCAATCTTGATTTTAGGAGCACCAGACCCCATATGTAATTGAATATTTGGTGTGTACATCAACTTGGTTTCTGTCTGAGACTTCCTAGTGGACACACCATCTATTCAAGGCCAAGTTCAAAGCCTTCAATTTCCCTCTGTTCATTTATAGGTTCCTATTTATTCATTCATCACGCACTTAATAAAGTATCACAAATAAAGTTCTGAGAACTATGAAGGGGCATAGTCACCCACCAGAAGCTTAAAGGCTACCAGACAAAGGGAAATCATAGCAGATGTTGAGGAAGAATCTTACCTTTTCCACAAGGTAAGTTTTCCCAAAAGCTAGACGGGGATGAGTGAGGAAGCAAAAAGGGAAAGAAAAAATTGTGATCTGGTATGAGTTGGGGATATTTTAAGATACTGTCTTATCTAGTAATCAAAAACAATTGGGTATTGCTCCCAATTTCTGTGATACAACCTAAGATTCTGAACCTAAGCAGTAAAAGGAAGAGCCGGAATGCATTTGGATCTGATTTCTAAGATACTTCGCTCCCATCTCAACACTTAGGAGTGAGACCAATGGGGAAAAAACGTGATGGTCTGTCTTTCCCAGCCCTGAAGGATTTTGACAGTGAAGATCATGGAGAAAGACAACAGGATATTAAATAATGTTCCCAAGGATGGGTCTCATTTGTCTGGTAGGAAAAAAAATGGTAGAAGAGAGAGTTAGTGGCCAAGAAAGAGATCAAGACCCAAATGAGATCAAGTGATGTAAAGAATCTCACATTGTACCAGGGTAGGGAGTAAATAGAGCTGTTAGCCGACCATCATTGCCCACAGCGTCACCATCTGTTATATCTGCATTTCCGGACAATAGCTGAACCTTGATTTCAACACCCAAGAACTAAGAATCCTATAATCATCTCATGGTATGTCCAGATCTTTCCAAAGGCTAGGAAGAAATAAAGCAACCAGAATCTACTCAACTCCCTGCTTAATTCTTAGGAAAGTCAGAACTGGAGAAGAGTTTTGTTACCCTCATTTTATAAATGGAGGGTCACAGAGGAAATGGACTTGTCCATGGGTACCTGCTTATTGGTACCAAGGACCACCTTCCACTTGCAGTAACAGCAGGTATCTCCCTCATTCAATGGTTCCTTCCAGGATCTCTCTGTATTAGAGAATCCACGGGAGTTAGGAGTTGGGGAAATTCAGAGAAGTAAGATTTACTTTCTGCTATCAATATTCACTCAGGGTTTTACCAAAGTAAAAGTGAAAGAATGAGCTGTGGGCTGTCTACTGTGCTTAGTTTTCATCTTAAACATGGAAAGGTAAAGGTAAAGGCCCTCCCGTTGATCGTCGATTTGCTCGAGCGGGCCCAGTAACGTCTCCATTGGAGACTTTGTTGTTACTGTGTCTGGCATATCCAATACTCTCGGTAGCTTGCCGGGAAACAGGGATGTTTAAATCATAAGGAAACAAAAAATTTCAGGGGAGGGTCACACCCAGTCGTGCTCAGGATTTATTCCTGGCAGAACACCATATGGGGAGCTAGCAAATGCCTTACCCTCTGTTCTATTGCTCTGTCCCAAAACAATTTCTTTTTTCTGTTTAGATGTGCTGTATTTAAAATGACCCCAATTCTTCACGGTAGGATTCACTGTTTCTGTTTTATGGGGAAGGTGAAGCCGAATATCTCTTCACCCTTCTTCTGTGTCAAATCGACCTTATAAGAAACCATAACTTACATCAGGAAAATACCCAACAGAAAAACAAATGTGAAATTGGCTTTCAAAAGTTTTGTGATTTTCTTTTTTAATTGCACAAAATTAAATATGTTTATAAACCACATTTCTCTCTCTCTCTCTCTCTCTCTCTCACACACACACACACACACACACACACACGACCCCTGAGAGGTGAGGGGTCTCAGAACTGGATCTGTAGGAAACATCTGTCCTTGAATACAATGACAGCGTAGAACTAGGCATGCGCAGAATGACTCCTCCGCATCCCACCACTTCCAATGTGCAACCCCGATAGAGCCACAGGATGGTGCTATAACTCCAGCAGAAATGCCTCTGGCAGAGTCCCTTGCCATATTACCCTGTAGCTATGAAAACAGGACCTAAGAAAAGGAAAGTTCGCTAACTGACACAGTTAATTAAGGTATTTTCAGGTCAATGATAGTCTCTGTTCTCCAAGAAAAAGAAGGTGGGTGCTGAAAGTGCTGGAATTTCTCTTTTTTCTCTCAAAGGCCCGGTGACGACTGCCTGGGTCCTTGGGCTCAGTCCTTGACTGCCTTACATTTCGGCGTTGGGCTATGTAGGCAACTTCTCCAAGTCTTTGCTCTCTAGTACAGGCCTAAATCTACCTCATTATACACACACAAAACAGTGCTTGGATTCCTGTGTCCCTATTATCTGTCTAACACTTTTTCCACTACCATGTGTCGTGCAGTAGATTACGAACTTCACTCACATTCTTTCACTTCTTACAGAAACACAAATAAATGACAAACCAATCCTTTACTGAATCATTTGTTGGATTTCTGAGTCGATTAACTAACACGGGAACCATCAGGGGGAATGAAAGTCTATAATTCTCTAAAACTTGGGTCTTGGCGAAAGCAGGATTTTGAAGTGGTGGGTGAGAAGGAAAAACCTCTGAGGTCCGGAGAGCAACAAATGGGAGATTCTTTAATGGAGAGGAAGAGGGGGCAGGCATGGGGCAAACGAGCAGATATGACCATGACCAGCACAAACCCAGAAAAAAATAGCTGGCTTTGGGTTTGAGTCCAGCATGCAGGATTCCCAGAACCTGACATGATCCTACTCTTCCTGTGGTAGTTTCACCGACCTCACAAACAGCCTCAGAGGGTAGATTTGTGTGTGTGTGTGTGTGTGTGTGTGTGTGTGTGTGTGTGTGTGTGTGTGTGGTCTTTGAAAAAGTTTCAGGAACAGTCTCTGTGGAGGAATGCTCCTAAAGCCACCATCTTCAGTGAGGCTGAAAGTCCTGAGTGTCCAGACCAGGTGTGTGACTGCAGGAAGTGTGGCTTATCTTTTAGGTAGGGGAGAATTTGTTTCAGAGGCAAGGATAATAATTCTGGGCAGGAAAAGGCTTAATCCTCTCTCAACCTCTTTCACCTGTTGCACTAAAAGTCAGTGAAAGACGTAAGTACTTTTCACTGAACTTTTTTCTGGATTACAAAACTAGTACAAACTCGCTCTAGAGAATCTAGAAAATTTAAAAGAAAGTAGAAATTAGAGAATTTTTTTTAAAAATCCAGAGTTGTATTAATCCCTATTGATAACTTAGAGACTTTTCTTCCCATAAGAGATCTTGTTATGTAAAATTAAAGTCATAACATGTCATCAAATTTGCATTCTGCTTTCTCATTGAAGATGGTATCACAGTTCTGATAAATAGGACAGGGATATAAAGTACCTGCTGACTGTGTTTCAAACCCCGACACCTAATAGTTTCCTAAGCACTGTCAGGAGTGATCCCTGAGCACAGACCCAAGAACTAAGCCATAGCACTGCTGGTATATCCCCAAAACAAACAGAAAGATAGTATCATGAATATTTCCTATGCCATCAGTATTAGAAGAATATTGCAAAATAGATTTTTTTGCTGGCCACTTAACATGAAATCCTACAAATGTCTAATAATTCCCTTTGATGATTTTAAGACCATTCAGATATGTCTAGCTTCTTTTTGTTTGGGGGCCTCACCCCATGGTGCTCAGGACTTACTCCTTTCTATGTCCTCAGTGTTCAATCCTGGCAGTCTTGGGAGACCATGGGTGCCAGGACTTAAACCTGGACCTGTCTTTCAAGGCAAGCACCCTACCAGGCCCTCAAGCTTTATTTTATTTTATTTTATTTTATTTTTTGCTTTTTGGGTCCCACACAGTAATACTCAGAGGCTACTCCTGGCTCTGCACTCAGGAATTACTCCTGGCTGTGCTCAGGGGACCATATGGGATGCCAGGGTTCGAACCCAGGTTGGCCACATGCAAGGCAAATGCCCTCCTTGCTATACTACCTCTCCTCTCCTTTCATTATTTTAAATAATGCTAGGTTAACAGCTGACAAAGGGAAAAACATGTTTGTTTTTCAAAAATTATTTCTGTAAGATAGAATCCAAGAAGCATAATTTAGAAATCAAATGTAAACATTTGAAATGTTGTTAAATGGATGGATGGAACATCTAAATAGATATATATTGGATAGGTGGATAGATGGAAGAAAGATACAGAGGTAGGTAGAAAAGTAGGTCATCAAATTTGCATTCTGCTTTCTCATTAAAGATGGTATCACAGTTCTGATAAATAGTAAACGTGTGGATATGTAGATACAGAGATAAAAATAACAGATATATGGATAGATGGACAGGCAGATGAAAGACATGCAAATAGATATGAATGTATTCTGCTTTACACTTCCACCACTCATGTAGCACTGTCCTCTCGTTGTTCGTCGATTTGCTGGAGCGGGCACCAGTAACGTCTCCATTGCGGGACTTGTTGTTACTGTTTTTAGCAAGCTCGCCACGGGGAGCTTGCCAGGCTCGGCCATGCGGGCAGGATACTCTCAGTAGCTTGCCAGGCTCTCCGAGAGGGATGGAGGAATTGAACCTGGGTGGGCCGCATGCAAGGCAAATGCCCTACCCGCTGTGCTATCACTCCAGCCCACCACTCATGCAGAAGGTATATTTTATCTCACCTATACCTGCTCCAACTTCGATAGTTTGGTTTTAAATATTTGGTAGCTTTAGAAAATATGTCTAGGGGCTAGAGCGATAGCACAGCAGGTAGGCCATTTGCCTTGCTCACGGCCGACCTGGGTGCAATTCCCAGCATCCCATATGGTTCCCCCGGGCACTGCCAGGAGTAATTCCTGAGTGCAGAGCCAGGAGTAACCCCTGAGTATTGCCGTGTGTGACCCAAAAAGCAAAAAAAGAAAGAAAAAAGAAAATATATCTACATGAAGAAATTTGTTTTGGTCTGTGTCTCTTTTTCAAGAGTTCTAGAAGAAAAGTGAAATGAACGAGCATCTTGTCTTCCAAAGATGCACAGAAGCCTTTTTAGACAAAAGAAAACTCTTTTGGGAGGGGAGTCAGAGACGTTTTCAGAGGCCCCCATTCAAGCTCTCTCTGCTCCGTTTTCTCCACAGGGCTCCAAGGGTGACGGGAGGCACGCTTGGGTCATGAAGCACTTCAAGAAACCAACCTACTGCAACTTCTGCCACGTCATGCTGATGGGTGTGCGGAAGCAAGGCCTGTGCTGCATCTGTGAGTACTCGTCCCTCCCAGCCTTTTCCACATGCATGTGACTGAACCGTGGAAAGTACACGTGTCCATTCTGCTTTCCAGCATGAGCGCCCACCCAGATTGTGCCATCAGCAGGGAATAAACTGAAACTCTCCATGATGTTTTTGTTCCCTGCCCCAGTCAAACGGACTAGAATTATGCTATTGTTGGAATCCTGTCATCGGATGCTGTCCCTTTTGGGGAGGAAAATGGGGGGGAGAGGGAGATGAATGAGGTTTTCACCTAATTAGAAAGCAGCGCCTACTAATTTGGAGGGTATTGCCTGCCAATATTCTGGGTGGTAAGAACCTAACTTTTAAAAATTATTAAGCCATATCAAACTAATTTATATTGGCCATTGAAACAAAAACATTCCATTGATTTTGCTTTATTACCCATTTAATAAAGTCAGAAGGACAAGCACACACTTGAAAAGGGATGGAGGAAGACTAGAAAGGAGAGCAGGAAAAAGATGGAGGAAAAGGATGGAAGAATGAAGGGATACCCCCAGGAAAGAGGGAAAATTCGAGAAGCAAAGAGAAAGAAGGTTGCTGCAATGAGAAGATTATAGGAACCAGAGTACATGGGAAGAGTTCTGCCACCTAGTCTTCTTTGACACTGGTTTACAAAGTTGTTCATGGTGCTTTTGTAAGAGGAATTCAATATTCCAACACCAGTCCCACCACTAGCGTGTCCTTCCCTTCACCGTTGTCCCCATTTTCCCAACCACCACCACCCCACCCCCAAGCCTGCGCCCTTAGCAGCCACAAAATAATTTATTTTATATTGCTTGTTACAACTAAATCTGCCAGCTGGTCTTGAAAAAAAATGTTCAACTAGAACCCGTCAGAGACTACGGGGCATGGGGTGGGGGCCTTCTGCCAGGAGGGCCCTTGGGTGTGGTCCCAATCCCAGGGAGGAAGTCACCTCAGCCATAAAGACCATCATAGCAAAATTGGGCCGATGTCCACCAACAAACAGACTGAAGCATGAGCCCAGCAGCCTTTGCAGAACCCGTGGGTTCAGCAGCTCTCGGTCATGTTGACAACCCCTGTCTGCTTCCTGAAGCGGTCGAGGCCTGTGGTGTTTGCACAGCAGTCAGTAGTCGCGGCCATAACCATAACAATAATCATTTGTGGAATAACTATTCCAAACAAGACACATGCTACTTTATACAGATGACCTCATTTCATCGTACAAAAGCCCTGCAAAGAGAAAGAGAGATGATTTTTATTTTCATTTTCTGGAAGACTCTGAATCTTCAGAGAGGTGCAGTGAGAATAGGTTTAATAAACCTATAGAGTCCAACCTATATAGAGTCCAACCCAAAAGCTTTGCAACTGCTCTCATGGTGATTCAATAAATAAAATTATAAAAAATTAAATAAAAAAGGTAAGGTGGAGTTCATGCCCAATTTAATCAGCTAATCAGTGGCTGAATAAATAGCAATACTCCTACATTTTAAAAAATAAATAAATAAAGTGACAGAGCCCAGGTCTGCCTGATTCCACACTTAGAAAGGTTTTCTGCTGTGTTTTCCCATGCCCCCGACCTTTCTGTCCTCCCTAACACTCCTGTATACATCGATCATTGGCCTAAGATGATGATGATGCCTTCTAGCCACTTCAGGAAAAAGCACCTTGCTGGCAATATTTTCCTACCACGTCAGCTTTCTGCTGTGAAAAGCAGTGGCGCAGGATGGAGAGTGTAGAGTCAGGTCTGACCCTCTTCTCCAGCAAATTCTCTTCTCAATTTGAGACATTAGATCTTCCTCTGGGCAAGGCGAGCTCCCTGTGGCCCCCGTAGGACACATGGACCTTACATCAAGCGTAGTGGTTGGGCCTTTCCTAGGTGTTCACTCACAAAAATTTTCTTCATGCTCTTGTTTCAGACTGTAAATACACTGTCCATGAACGCTGCGTATCCAAAAACATTCCTGGATGTGTCAAAACGTACTCAAAATCCAAAAAAGGCAATGAGGTTGGTGACATCTTTTGCCTTGTGCTACTGCATGGTGCATCTGGGACCACATGTCCGTCATTGCAGATGCTGGGCAAGAAGGGCTGTGGGAGCTTTGCCTTCTTGCTCAACACTGCCTCGGCAACCCCCCCTTAACCATCTTGTTCATCCATCAATCCATTTAGTGCCTCTCTGGTGCCCCCATGTGCACTGTGCTAGGGGCGTACAGGTTATGTGCTCAGCCTGCTAGAGGACTCTGAGCGGGGGGAGGGATAAGGAAGGTGAAAAGAGGGAAAGAAGGAGAGAGATGGGGGAGGGAGGGGAGATGAAATGTGTGATAATAGTTGTACTGTGTTGAGACCTATAGTTGGCCAGCAAGGTAACCAGGAAAAGTGGCACAAGGAAGATGGCATTTGAATTGTGTCTTAAACCAAAATCAAGAGGAATTCACAAGACGTTAAAAGGACAAGGAGCCCCAGATGGAAGCAGATCCAAGTGCATGGCCTTGCAGATGTGGCTTTGTATGGAAGCTATACTTGGCTTGGTATGACTAGGACTGAGAATACTTGACCCAGCCTGAGGGTGGTCTTGAGAGGCCAGATGAGTCAATGGAAAGATGGTTGCCATGCCGCCAAGCATCACTGAAGACCATGAACACACTAAAGGCCAATTGGGCTTGACAGTTCAGTTCATCGCTAACCAGGGTGCAGGACAGAAAGCAGAGGAGGACCATTTTTGTGCTGAATTTCCACTGACTGACCCAGTTGTTGGGTGTTTTAATGGTCCAAAGTGAAGAAGATGAAGGGAAAATTAGAGAAAGAAATTGGAGGTATTATCACCAGGACTTGGTGATGCAGATGAAAGGGATGTGAGAAGGGAAGAAGTCAGGAATGGTTTCCTAGGTTCTCTCCTGGCCATTAAGTGATGCCACTCTGGAAATAAGACTCTCCTTAAGACGAGCAGGGTTTGGGGTCAGAGATACAGTGTAGTGGTAAGACACTTGCCTTGTTCAATCCTCAGCATCTTATATCGTCCTCCAAGCCCACCAGGAGTGATCTCTGAGCAAGAGTCAGGAATCAGCACTGAGCACAACCAGGGATGCCACCCCAAAACCAAAACAAAGCAAACAAACAAAGATGAGCAGGGTTAAAGCATGATGATGTCTGGCGGAAGGAGCAGTCAGTGCATTGAGGAGTCTGAGTTGAGAGAGGTTAGCAAGCGGAAGTGACAACCAGAGGTCCCCAAAGGATTCCAGAAGGATACCTCCAAGTACATACGTGCATGCATGCCCCATGAGACACCGCATGGCTGCTCATCTGTTCCTTCCACTCACGCCATACGCACCATTCATGCCTGTCTCTTTCACCAGGGCACACTGGCCCTTTCTTTCTCAGTCAGGCCCACCTCCTCTCCGGCCACCCACCACACACTGAAGAGACAGAGGCCCCTGACGAACTAGCAAAGCACACACAATATTCTGAGCTTCCAGAAGGCAACCTGAGACCTTCACCATCTCTCCTCAGCCCAGAAGTGGATAGAAATGGCAAGGCAGTGGCAGGAGGCTTGACTCTGAATCCCTGCGGGGACACTTAGCAACCTTGGCACCTTGGGCCACTTAATCTCTCCGAAACCTCAGTTTGTTTGCTTTTGCCAAAGTGGTATAAGGACCATCTTCTGAGCAAATGTAGTGTGACAGTCTAGAGTAGGGCATTTTAAACGTTCCCATTCATCACTGCTTTTTTGCCCAAGAAATCTTAACATGACCTCATATATATATTAGGCATTAAAGTTCAACACCGGTAATAAATCATAAAATATTTATTTTAAAACCATGTTGTTTTAAAAAGTTATACAGGGACCAGAGAGATAGCACAGTGGGCAAGGTGCTTGCCTTGCATGTGTTTGACCCAGTTTTGATCTCCAGCACCCATATGGTCCTCTGAGTCTACCAAGAGTGATCCCTGATCACAGAACCAGGAGTAAGCCCTGAGCATCACCAGATGTGTTCCCAAAACTAAAAATAAAAGTGAAAGGTTGTGCAATCCTATCAAAGGTGAAATCCAGTTTTTGTACCCTCAGGGGTGCATGGCAAAAGATGAGAAGTTATGAAATACATGTGGCACATCCTTTAGAACAGTGTTCTTCAAAGTGGGAAATACTGTCCCCCAGAATGCTGAATTATGGAGGTGTGACTGTGGCCTCCGAGGTAGTTCAGGGGAGCTTCTTGTTTGCTCACTTTAAGAAAGTAGACTTAAAGGGGATACAGTGGTTTGGTTTTTATTTTTCTGAAAGGTAGGGATGGGGAGCACTACCTTAGTTCTACCACGTCTGGGAACCTCTGCTCTAGAATAAGTTTACCAATAACTCTTTGCAGGGAGGAAACTGCAGCTTGACTCACTCATAATTAAAACTTTATGTACTCCAAACACAAATGTCTTCCCACACATGAGCACATGGCTCTGCAAGTTCTCCAAGACAGATGCAGTTGCCAGACAGCATCACTCAACTCATCCAAAGGCCTGCAGTCAGGGCGACTCAGCGTGCGGGCAGTTAGGCAGGAAGGGACCACTTCAGGGCCATTCAGCAGAGCATCCAATAAGGGTACCCGCTCAACAGGAAGCTGCACCTCTCCACATCCCGTACCCTTTGGCTCAGGTCCAGAACCTGGAAACGTGGTTCTGTGGCCTTTCCTGGTATCCCTCCCTTCCCTCCTGCAGGTGATGCAGCACGCGTGGGTGGAAGGGAACTGCTCCGTCAAGTGTGACCGGTGCCATAAAAGTATCAAGTGCTACCAGAGTGTCACAGCGCGGCACTGCGTGTGGTGCCGAATGACGGTGGGTCTGCACCCAGGGCTGCCCTGCTTCTTTTCAGTGTGGTCTTTTTTTTTCCCCCTGCACAGGGTGCAGCCAGGAAGCCATGGATGTGCCACTAGAGGGCGTGAACAGGCCAGAGAAGCATAATTGTGGGGGGCTCTGAGAACCCCCACTCAGTGACCAGAGTCAGCAGTGCCTCCATTGATCACCAAGAGACACCCCCAGAAGGGTACCAGTGGGGCAAGCACCGACTAGGAAGAAGTGGCCAGTGTAATATCTGTGTATCTGGGCAGTCAGGAAAAGCAACAAGCAGTTGACCTATGGGTCCTGGGTCACTGACAGCAGGAGAGGAACTGAGCACCAGCACTGTGATGCCCAGGTGTCAGAGGAAGGCACACTCCTATACAGTTGCCTCACCGCCCCAGCCCATGTCCATGCCCTCTCTGGGGAGACCTGTAGGGCCACACCTGATCCCCTTCCTGAGTATCAGCCACCAAAAGAATGTGCCTTCAGGTCAGAGTCTAAAATGCCCAAGGTAGTGAATGGTTTCTGTCCAGCCTCCCATGAGTTTGCTCCTCAAGGTTTGTTTCCTTCCAGAAGCCCAGAGCCTCAGAGAACAAATATCTCAGGGAGGCCCAGGACTCACATAAGGGCCAAAGACCCACTCTGCCCAGTTTACCCCAGGAGACTTTGGGCTTTCTCTCTGCCCACAGCGGGCTTGGCATCTCTTAACACACGTACACACACACAGAGCAAAATTGCCAATGCCACCGGGGTGTCAGGATTTGGGGGGGTGGGGCACTAGACACCAGCCTTCCAGCACACTCTAAAGCCTCCTACTTGATGTTTCTTTGACGCTGTCACTCATTCTCCTCTTCATCGTTTGCACCCCCAGTCTCACCGCAAGTGTGAAGTGTCCACCTTGTGTGATGGTGGGGAGCTGAGAGACCACATTCTGCTACCCACCTCGATATGCCCAGTCACCCGGGTAAGTGCTACCACCACCCGGGCCCTCATTTCTCAGCTCACAGATGTGGGCAGCATTCCTCCTCATCCCGCCAAGCCTTTCCTCCATAACTCCGAGGATCGGTGTTTCCGGTGCTGCCCAGTCTCATTGTGAGAGCCAACTCTCCTGTCAGAACTGGTTCCCGCTGCTCCCACAACCCTCTGAGGTGCCCATCGTGTTTCCCACATTGTCCTAAGTGCCTGGCAGACAGCCCAGCTCAAGGACCCTCCACCGCTCCCTCTGCATGGTCCTCCCGGCCCTGGCCCTGTCACTCTGTCCTCTGTCCAAGCCTGGATCTCCCTCTTCCTGGAGGATGTCCAGTCAGCTGTCTCAACCCCACTTGGAAGTGAAAGCACTAAATTAAACTCCTTTTATTCCCATAGGAAACTATTAATCTACTGTGTTGAAGACTCATTTTTTCAAGCAAACAACACAGACCTTAACTGTTGCCCTCTCTCCCTTAAAGATGTCACCAAATCCCACTGTTTTCTCTCATCTCACCCTTAACTTGATGAGTTGTTCCTTTTTCATGTGAAAAAAGATGGTCAGGAGGAGACCATTGCTTTGGAAAGATCGTTTGACAATATCTACTAGGGTAGAAACTCAAAGTCTATTGCCTGACATATTTCCTGCTAGGTCCATACCCAAGAAGCTTATTCCACCAAAAGGCATGGACAGGAATGTTCTTCTCAACTTTATTCAGAGTTTAGAACTGGAATCAAGCTAATAGATAAATAAGCTGAGGCATATTTTCATAATGTAAATACATTGCATTGGAATAAACTATGCAGAGATACAGAAAATGGATTTTCTCAGACTTGATGCTAGATTCAAAAAAAAGACACTGCTTTTCTTTATATCAAATTTAAAAATCAGCAGTATCAGTATGGTATCAGGTCACAAAGGAGTTAGACCTAATGAGATGGTTGCTATAAGGGCATATTCTTTTTTTTAAATTAATTTTTATTAAAAACACCATGTTTTACAAAGTTGTTTATTATGCACCTGTTTCAAGCATTTAGTGTTCCAACACCACCAGTGTGAATATAAGGGCATATTCATAGTCCAAAATTCACCAAGTTATTTGCTGGAGTGATAGTACAGTGAGTAGGGCATCCCATATGGTCCTCTGAGCACCACCAGAGTGATCCCTGAGCACATAGCCAGGAGTAACCCCTGAGCACCAACAGGTATGAACCCCTCCCAATACATTTCACAGTTATAGATATAGATTTGAGCATTTACAATATATGAGATAAACCTCCAAAATTAAAAATAGGCATTCCAAAACAGTAAATAAAGATTAAAAAGAAATACTAAGAAAAAAAGTTTACTCCACACCCCATTCATAATGCTACCCCAAATCTCAGATGCTATTTCCCAGGGCTGACGCACAGGCAGAATCAGCACAGATTCTTGCCAGTTTCACCTGAAACTGCTAACAGAGGCCTGGACAGTCTTCAGAAACCCTGGGGAATCATCTTTTTTATATATATATATTTTCAAAACTCCACTGGCAAAAACCCTTCACACACTCCTGCCTGGTTTCCTGTTCCTTCTCTGTATTCACCGTTTGTCTTCTGACCTTCCTTTGTACAGACCTTGGTTGTTGTTTTGCTGTTCGGCTTTCTGGTTTTCAGAATAGGTTTGCTTTCCTCTCTTCTCACAGGACAAGCAGGATGGGAAGACGGATGGCACCGTGACCGGCAAGGGTGAACCTGTAACGCAGGTACTTTGCCAGCCGGGCTCTGTGCCCAGTCCAAGGTGGCTCAAGGCTGTGGAGAAGAGGACAGGGTTCGGGATTGAGAGACATATGTCTCGACATTTGTCTTTTCCCCTCATGGATTGTGTCTCAGAGGACACTCTGTTTCCAGCCTCTGAGTGACCCTCGACTGCCCGACTGTGGGCTAGTGGTGAGAAGGGAGTTATGTCAATCCCACAATGATCCTAACGGGATTCTTAACCCTTTCAGCAATAAGTGACATAGAACTTCAATAGACACACTTCTTAAATAGTATCAGGAGGGGAGACTAAAAATAGGTCATAGGTTTTCCCAAATCACCAAGCTGTCTTCAAAATGTGACCTGCCCAAACAAAGCTAATTAGCTCTAAAAGTTCTTCACCCTTAAACTCATTTTTGACTCGGATTCACTAATGAACAGCTTGGTGTATGTGTTCCTTTCTCAAATTTCCTGGGAATGCAGAAAAGGTAGTCTGGCCGGGGGCCAAGAATGCGAGGAAAGGACACAGAAAACTAGGGCCACCTCTCATGCCTTCTGTTTTGTGGTTTGCAAAGGAGTATCGCAATCCCTTCCCAGCCCACCTCTCAAAATCACGTATGGAGATTAGTGTGATTTGAAAATGGAAACATAAGGGATAGATGTTAAAATGGGGGAAAGGTTTAGATACCTAGAAGGGCAGAAAATAAGGCAGAGTGCTCGCTCTCTCTCCCACTGTCTCCCCTCTCTCTCTCTCTTTCTCTCTCTCTCTCTCTCTCTCTCTCTCTCTCTCTCTCTCTCTCTCTCTCTCTCTCTCAGGTATATCCTTTTATAGCTGCCATCTGTCTAATTATCCTGCATCTGCTCTTTTCAAATAAGGCCCATAGTGTATACCACATTGTACTGAATTATTGATGCAGATTTTTTGCCAATTTTTTTCCTGTCAAAAGGTGGAATGGAACTATGGAACTATTGTGTGAAGCTTTTTTAAAAGATGGTGCCGAAGTTAGTTAAAATCAGAATAAAATATGGTAGTTGCTAAATAGTTTTGATATTTAGATAAAGAATTGCTCCATATAAAGAGTTGATCATCGTAGGCCCAAAGATAGTACAGAGACTAAGGCACTTGTTCTGTATGTAGTCACAGTCATGACAATGGTTTGGATCCTGGTATGGTCCCAGTCAGGAGTGATACCTGAGCACCACTGGGTGTGGGTTGGGGGATGAATAATTATTCCTCAGCCTCCAATATGCCTCTGGAGTCACAAAACTAGTTATGCTGGATAGATGAGACAATCTCAAAAGAGCCTAGAGAATTCTGCTGTCCATTTCAAACAATACAGATCTGGGCTTTCTGGCATTATAGCTCAATTAGAGAAGCACGCATCAGTTACTGACTGGAGCAGGCCTCCTTTAGTGTGTAGTGAGCCATCAACTGAGTGCACGAGTATTTAGTGAACATTCCACACCTGTCTGACCTGGGCGGGTTCTCCACTTGCCCCAAGAGCAGCATGAGTTAGAACTGAGCAGGCCTATATACATCCGCAGGCCTGCTGGGGGGGAAACGCAGAGCGTTTCCAGTAAATGTAGTTGACCTTCCACAGCTACAGATTCGGCACCTACATATTCCACCGACTCTGATGATTGGCTGAGGCCATGAATATGGAGAACTTGAACATCTGTGTATTTTAGTGTCTGCAGGAGTTCTGAAACTAATTACCCTGAGAATATCAAGGGAAAACTATAATTGCGTTTAAGGGGATTTCAAAGTTATTTGCAGATTTTCAACTGAGCAGGAGTCAACACCTCGAGCCCCCAGAAAAACCAGCACCAGTGTTTTTCAGCTACCAACTCTTCCCCCTGAACACACTGTCTCTACCCTGTTCCTCAAACATTTGAAATACAGTCGATATGTTCAGGCATTTACCCAAGAAAGTTAAGAACAACAAAAAAGCCAAAGAAACAAAAAAAAACCCTACCAGCAACAATAAAAAACAAAGAAATCTAGACACGTGTGTTCCCAGGGCAATTGCATTCATTGTAAGAATCAAGGAAAGTGACATCGACTTGGTTTTAAGCTGGAGCTGGAGGTGGGGAGGTTCGTCCCCTTCTTCCCCCAGGTTTCTAGGAAGGAAATGGGCATTTCAGGCCTGGAGCTGAAGCAAAGCCAGAGTGCAGGACAGACACTCATGGGTAGGGATGAGCCTGCCTGGGCTGGAGTGGGAGCAAGGGTCAGAGGAGAGTAGAGATAATGGGGCAGATGGGCAAGGTGACTGGGACTCGATCCCCTAGGCCGTGAGCTGTCCCTAGAGGTTCTGCACGATTGATGTGAAGTTCTGGGAACTCAAGCAGAGCCTCAAGGGCTCACTTGACATGGGAGGAAAAGTCTAAGCATTGTCAATCCTGTGGCCCCTGCCAGAATTCAGGAATGTTCCAGGGAAGGAAGTTTCAGGAAAGGGTCTTCTCTGGGGTCCCAGCCACAAGGAAAGCAACTGTGGGGCCTGCCCAATTTGCACAGACGATGTGGGTACCTCTAGGTGGAGGTGCCCACAGGTCCGTGGGAAATGTGGGAGCAGGAGCATGAGGAGTGCTGGCGGGAAGGGTGGCCTGGAAGGTGCTGGCCACTGGGGGTGGGCAATCCCATTAGCGTCATTTTGTCATTGCGTGGGGACAGAAGGCCCCGCTCACCTCATTGCCCCTCTCGGCTGAAGCGGAACTAATTTCTTTTTCCTTTATCTTTTCAAGTATAAGATTATCCCCACCCCAGGTACCCACCCCCTGCTGGTCTTGGTGAACCCCAAGAGTGGAGGGAGACAAGGAGAAAGGTATGTTTTGCAAAACAGAGGCTGGGACACCCTTACTCGGGCCTTTCTTCCTCACCCCTAGGAGAATCTGGTTTCAGATCCCACCCCTCGAACTCACCACTTGATGCCCTGAGGCAAGTGGCTGAATATCCCTGGGCCTTGGTTTTCTCGTCTGTGAGAACAATTCTCACCCTGCTGGGTGGTGGCGAGGGGTCTGTCCCATGAGCCACTATTATGACTCAGAGTCGGCCCAGCATCTGAGGCTCCTTCCTGGGTTCCCCAACCTCTTCTTTGTTTAAGATATATGGTGAGGATGGGAGCACAGCAGATGGGGTGTTTGCCTTGCATGGGCTGACCCAGGTTTGATTCCCAGCATCCCATATGGTCCCCTGAGCACCGGCATGAGTAATTCCTGAGTGAATGAGCCAGGAGTAACCCCTGTGCATCGCCGGTGTGACACAAAAAAAGCAAAAAAAAAAAGTCTATGGTGAGGGGCTGAGATGCTGGAGAGAGAGGTTAGGCAAGGGCTAGGACAACTGGCATGCAACTGACCTCTGTTTAATCTTTGGTGCACCCCATACAGTCCACTCTTGACTTTGTGCTCAGGAACACCGCCAGGGGTCACTGCTAAGTAAACATCGGGAAGTAAACCCTGTGCACTCCCAGGTGTGTCCCCAAAACAGACAGAGAGAGAAAGAGATATGGTGAGATCACCTGGTTGGGAAGCCTGGTCTGCCCCACCCTTGAGAAAGCAGAGAACCCATCATCCTATTAGTGTAGGAAGGGCCTCATCTTCTGGGAGCACTAACTGTGCAGAGAGAAACAGCCAAACTACCCTGTTCTGCTCAGCAGTGGGGTCCTGGACAGATTCAGAAATCCAGATGTCAAATAACTTAGAAGTTGTGTTTAAGCAAGAACCATAAGCCTCCTGCCCCGTGCCCGGGGGAGGCTGTCTCCCGAATGCACCTGATTTATCTCCACCTGGACCCTAAGTCAAGCCTGTGTGTGGCTCATCCTCAGTCTTCCCCTCTCCCATCACCAACTCTTGCATTTCTTCCTGATCCCAGGAGTTTAGACCACATGGCCCATGGGGGAGGGGTTCTTGAGGCAGAATCACACCCCTTAAGTCAGAGACCATGTGGGAGGAGGGGCCCATGAAGCAAAGACCACTGGGAGAATGGACGTATGGCCTCTGGGCCTGCCTGCCCTGTCCTCTGTGCAAGAAAGAGCTTGGATGGGGTGGGGAGGGGGAAGGTTGGCAGGGGCTGACGCCAGTGGACTGGGACATGGAGGTACACAGGCCTGAACTCGTCTTCTCCCTATTCCCCCCATGACGTGCTGGCTGGTGGTGGTCCCCCTCAGTAACATTCCCCCTCTCTGGCTCTCTCTCTCTCTCTTTCCCGTAGAATTCTTCGGAAATTCCATTATCTGCTCAACCCCAAACAAGTTTTCAACCTGGACAATGGGGGGCCTACACCCGGGTATGGAGACACCGTCTTTTCTTCCCTCCTCTCTGAAGAGGGTGCCTGACTCTGCTGCTAGCCCCCCGCTTGTCCTCTCTCTCGGCATGTCCCTCCTTCCCACGGCATCCCTTTGCTTGCTTCTTGGCCTCGCCTCGACTCTCTCTCCCGGAGAAACTCAGGAGCACCCAGTTTGTATAATTCGGGGAAGTCTCCCCCTAAAGTCTCCCGCCAAAGGGGATGGTTCTCTAAGAAGGGAAAGCGGAAGGCCCTTGCATCCGATTACAGGGATGCAGGCAGAGTGTTTGCAAGGTAGTACTTGCTGGTGTCTTTCTGTTGAATCATCAGGGAAAGAGAGTTTCTGGGTTTTTTGTTTTGGTTAGGTTTGGGGGCCACGTTTGGTAGTGCTCCAGCTTGACTCCTGGCTCTACTATGCTCAGGGGTCACTCTTTGGCGGTGCCTGAAGGACCATATGTTGTAACAAGAATTGAATCCAGGTCTGCTGCATGCAAGGCAAGTGCCTTACCTATTACGGCATTGACCCAGGGAAGGAAAGTTCCGTATTATGGTCAGTGGGTCACTCAGAAGTCAGGTCAACTGACTCAATTCTGTTCTGTGTCCCAAAGCTGGGCATTTTAGGGTTCAGACAATTGGATATTCGATGACATTACTTCCCCATCCCACCCCCAACCTGGATTCTCCATTGTAGAGGTTAAACTTCCTTCCCAGGGGCTTCTTTCTCCACTTGCCTCTACCAACGCTGGGCTATTTCACTGCTCTTCCGCAGAAGGTGTGAGAGAGGGAGAGCTATGAGAAGAGACATGCCGGCCCCTTTGCAGCCTGACCGAACGTCAGGGGGAGCAGCTGGTTTTTGTAGGGTGCTGTCCTGGTGAACTGCAGGTTCCTTTAGCAGGAAGGCACTCAAAGACCTGGGTTTCTGGAGACCCCTGCTGGCCAGCAAGGGGCTGCATCGGCCCAGTCCCCAGATGCCTGGACACGAAAGCCATTTTCCAACCTTCTTTTCAACTTTTTTTCTGCTTTTTGGTTTGGTTTGGTTTGGTTGGTTGGTTTGGTTTTTTGGCTTTTGAGCTACACGAGGCAGTGCTCAGGGATCACTCCTGGCATGTTTCAGACGCCCATATGAAATGTCAAGGATAGGGCCAGAGCAATAGTCCAGCGGGTGGGGCATTTGCTTTGCACGTGGCCGACCCAAGTTCAGTCCCCAGCATTCCATATGGTTCCCCGAGCACCAACAGGAGTAATTCCTGAGTGCAGGGCCAGGAGTAACCCCTGAGCATTGTCAGGTGTGATCCAAAAAGGAAAGAAAAGAAATGCCGAGGATGCACCCAGGTGGGTTATGCACAACACAAGCCCCTTATTCACAGTGTCTCTAGCCCCCAGCAAGCCACTTCTCAGCCCAGCCTGTGTTTCTGCTCGGGTTCAGCAGGACCCCTGGAAAAGGTGGAGAAAGAGCTAACTAAAGGGATGCCTGCCCTGTCTTTGGCTGTTTGACACAGAGCTTTTATTTGTGGAGTGGCAGTCTTATATTTTTAATTTGTTGCCGGGGGGGAGAGGGTGTCAGTTTAGGTTGAGGGCCACGCCAGGTGGTGCTTGGTCCAGGCTTATTCATGGCTCTGTGCTCAGGAATCACTCCTGGCGGGCTCAGGGGACCATACAGGGTGCCAGGAACTGAACCCAGGCTAGCCACATGCAAGGCAAATGCCCTACCCACTGTGCTGTAACTCTGGCCCCCAAAGACCATTTTAAACAAGAGACGAGGTTGCAAATTCAGCTCCTCCACCATGATGGAGGATCTTTCCACTTAGTTTCTAAACAGAGCCTCCTTTGCAGCTTCGGGTGCCCCCGAAAGCAGAGACTGCTGTCCAGGGACCAGAGACAGAGCCCCAGGCCTCCACCTGCAATACTTTAGCCCCGAGTTTTCTCCTCTCTCCCACCTGTGTCCTGCCTGTAGCCCCCCTGTATTGGTCTCCTCATGTCATACCAAGACCCCCCTTTCATGATTTTTCACAGCCCCTTCCCAGAATGCCCGGAGTGTCCATGGGAGGACCCTGAGGCTGATGGAGATAAGCCTCCTTCGTCCTAAACTAGCTTTGTCCTATGTGACAAGGCGCGAGGCTGCTTCTGGGTTTGGGGGCCTTGAGTTTCGCCTTCCTGTGTGAGACTGGAGCAGAGACAGACCCTTCCTTTCCCCACGTAAGCATCTGGGTCTCAGAAAGGCCCCGATGGGCAAAGAGGAAATGAGAACCTTGAACTTCCCAAGTTCCCTCTCTGGCAGCAGCCCACAGGCCACCTTTGCTCTGAAGCAGTTTCCTAACCTCTGTGTGCTAGGAACCTCTTCAGCAATCTGATCAAGCCCAAATAGTCCCTTCTCTGGGCACTGTTTCTTAGTACATAACTTAAAGATGTAGGGTTACCAAGTAAAGTAAAGTAAGTAAAGGCCCTCCCGTTGATCGTCGATTTGCTCGAGCGGGCCCAGTAACGTCTCCATTGGAGACTTTGTTGTTACTGTGTTTGGCATATCGAATACTCTCGGTAGCTTGCCGGGCTCTCCGAGAGGGGCGGAGGAATCGAACTCGGGTCGGCCATGTTGGCTGCGTGCAAGGCAAACGCCCTACCCGCTGTGCTATCGCTCCAGCCACACCAAGAAAACTAATGATTATGAAAAAAAAGTTATCAAAACAGTAGCACTATAGCACTGTCCTCCCATTGTTCATTGATTTGCTCGAGCAGGCACCAGTAATGTCTCCATTGTGAGACTTGTTGTTACTGTTTCTGGCACGAGTAGCTTGCCGGGCTTTGCCGTGCCGGCACCATACCCTCAGTAACTTACTGGGATCTCCGATAGGGGTGGAGGAATGGAACCCGGGTCTGTCCGGGTTGGCTGTGTGCAAGGCAAATGCCCTACCCACACATGATTATACCAATACATTGTATGGCAAGGTCCAGGGGCAAGCCTGTTAACTGTTATAAATCAAAAAGTGCTAAGCATCAATGATAGAGCAATCTGCCACTATCATGATGAAACATTAAACATCCCTATGATTTCAGCTGCTGACAAAGTCATGGGTATTATTATTTCCTCTGTGACCCACTGCCAACATTTACAATTGAAGGGGAAGACAAAACTGTTGTGTTCTCTGTGGCCAGTGTATGAATTCTGTCTCTGGGTTCTGTCCACAAATGCCTTGAAGGCTTGGAGTCCTTAGGCTCAAAAGGCTTGAAAGGGTTAAGAGGTTGATCAGTCGCCTTAGTCTACCCAGGGCCAGCAGGTGAGGGTGCAGGGAGCTCACCAGCAGGTCACTGCATGAACCTAAAACTCTTGAGCAGAGAACAAGCAGGAGGCCAGAGAGGAGTGAAAACGGGCTCGCTGGATTTGGTGAAACGGTGGATTCGCTGCCCTCATGCTAGAGCGTTTCCAGAAAACTGTTCTCTGTTAGTGTTGATGGTTGACTCAGATTCTCCTGTGCTCCTACATAGCACTGCAGTGGGGTTTCTCTCTCCTGAATGGCAGAGCTCAGGAAACTCTAGTTTGGGGCCTTTAAGTGAAACTTTCCACTCCAAAAGGAATCACAATCACTGTATCCTTTCAGGGAGAAGCGAGACTCTGGCTCTGTGAATGCAGAGTCCGCTCCCGTCTAGAGCTGCAGATCATCTTGTCTCTCTCTTCCTCTTCCCAGATTGAACTTTTTCCACGACACGCCAGACTTCCGCGTGTTGGCCTGTGGAGGAGATGGAACAGTTGGCTGGATTTTGGATTGCATTGGTAAGAATGGGCTGGAAGGCTCCTTCTGTTTCATATATAGAAAATGTATTTAAAGTCAGAGGAAGGCAGTACAAACGAAAGAGAAATGAAGCCATGTCTACTCTTGAACCTAATGCTTGACTCAGTGTCTGTTTTTGGATGGAAAAAGGGGAAAAGAGAGGACAATAGAAGCATCTGCATGGAGATCGATGTGAGCACTTGGTTGTAGGCTTCACTTCAAAAACATCCGTCATGTCCATGGCTCAGGCATCTGCAGAGTGAAGGGGTGGGCAGGAAAATGCTCTAGAAGAGACTGTGGCCAGGCAAATGAGGGCGGGGAGTGGGCAAACTGATATCTGAGTGGAGAAAGCACTGGCGGGAAGTGAAAGCCAATGCAGTTCACACTGGGGAGTCTGTCCTCTGCCTGGATTGGAGGACAGTGAGTAGCGCCCAGGCTGGAAATCAGGCAACCTGGGTTCTGGTCACGCTTGGCCTGATCTGTAGGTCTTTGGACCCTTCTCCCTTTCGTAAATGATGGAGAACAACTCTGAAATTCTGCAATGGGGGTATATTCAAGATCTGAAGCTCCCAGATAAACGCGGGGACACAACCTATCAAGACAGGGAAGCAGCCCAGGAAATTGTTGGGTGAGCTCTGGGAGTGCTTCTGAGCTTCTGTTTCTTCTGCCTTTCTGTCATTTATTTCACAAACACTCCCCAGGAATCTTAATGTGTCAGCTCCCCCTCGGAGGTTGGGAGCCCAGTAGTGAACAGACAAAATTCTCAGCCCCTCTGCGAGAGGTGAGATGGGTAATCAAGAAGCAGGAGAAACAGCCCGGCAGGGACCAAGGGGGCTCAGAGCACTAAACCCTCACCGACAGGTGTCCTGTGCATGGAGACCTGGAGGAGACTGAGCCAAACAGACACCCAGTGGGGAAGACCAGTTTTGGCAGAAGGAGCAGCAAATTCAAAGGCCCTGGGGTAGGAGCAGGCCCCAGGACTAAAGGCAGCATGATGGCCACCATGCAGGATCCAGGCAGAGTGTGAGGGGAGAGGAACAGACACAGAGAGAAGCAAGGCCAGGGCACTGGGACATGTGGACTTGACACAGAAGGTGGTGCCCAATCTTGGAAAATCCCAAGACCCTGGATGGTTTGGAGCTGAGAAGGGCCCAGAAGGTTATGAGAAAAGGTCATCGCAGGGGCCAGGAGGTAGGACAGGGCTTAGGTCTCATCCTTGCCTTTGTGGGACCTGGGTTCATCCCCGCACCTTGGGGCCTCCCTAGTACTCCTAGGTGTAGCCCTGGACCCCAGGCATCATCAAGGTGGTTCCTGTGATCCCCAGTACCTCAGGATCTAAGGAGCTTTAGCACTGAATCCCCAGCCGGTTGGTGGGATGTCACCTAGAGGGGACCCCGGATGCCCTCGGCACTGCTTGGAAGACCGCCTCATCCCATCCCAACAGCCCCCCCCCCCCCCCCGCCAAATCTCGGTAATCCTAGAGAGAGGTGAGGCCCACCGTGAAGTGGCCAGGAGACTCTCCGGAATGGATGGGCCCAGCACCTGCAGCCTTTGCTCCCTCGCAGGCACGTTGGTTTCCATGGACACAGCCCTGCCAAGCAGCCACCCCCGCGCCTGTCACCTCTGCTCTGACTTGGGGAGGGGTTGGTGGGAGGCGGGAGGAGCCGAGCAACAGCAGCTACACGCAGGGCTTCTCCTCCTCTGAAATAGAGAAGGCTCTGGTGCCGTGTTGCGTAAATGTATCTGCCGAAGACCCAGAGGGTGAGAGACACTCAAGGCAGAAGGAAGGGAAGTGGGTTGAGACCATCTGCTTTCACCAGGGCGGGGGCAGAGAGGGGACTAAAGCAACGGGGAGAGGTGAACCGTAGTGTTGGTTCCTTTGCTGGGGACATAGGGCAGCCCCTGTTCAGGGCCCCTCACCGCCCGCCACACCCTCACTCTGCCCCGCACTGAGCTGTCCTCCACCGGTAGCCAGCAGGGTCATTCCTGAGGGCCAGTGAATTGGTGCTGTGTGTGAAGGTTATTGGCCACTTCCTGTTAGTGAGATAAAGACAAAACCTTTCAAATGACCTACAGGTCCTAGGGCTGGCCGCTGACCCATTCTTCCAGCCTTATGGCATCCCTCCACCGCTCTTGTCACCCCTGCCGCTGCAGAGCCTTTGCCCAGAGGCACACTTGGACTTGCTCAGACACATTTTGCTTCCACTCTTCTGAAAGGGTAGCTTCCTCCAGGGAGCCTTCCCTGACATACCTCCCAACCTCAGCCACCTCATGGGAGGGCAACATGCCTCTGCTTTCAGTATAAATTTGAAATCGCTCATCGATTCTATGATGAGTAAACACAGTAGGAGCTGTATTTCCCATTATCTGAATCATATCCCTTCCCACAGCATTGTTGCTTGATAGCTGTTATGTGCCAGAAACCATGTTTGGTGAGATTGTGGTGAGTGTGGTCTAGCTGCCTGGGAGGCTAAAATATCTCATATTGTATTGGTCAACAATGACACTGGCAGTCAGGACATCTTCCTTCATGGTACAAACTCTGTGCTAGGCTCCACCATCTAGGTTGGTGGATCTGTGGTATGTAGGAGGCATGCCATCTAGCTCGGTGGATCTGTTGGTATGGAAGAAGGTACACTGTCTAACTTGATGGAGCTGTTGATAAGGAGGGGATAGACTGTCTAAGTTGGTCGGAGTACCCTCTATGATTTTTGAACCATGAGAGTGGCACCCAACGATATGTTTCTCAGAACGGGTCACTATCACTAAGTGACATATAACCGTGGTCAGTTCCAAGAGAGTGCGAGGAGATCATCCTGGTACTTTCAGAACATTCTGGAGAGGTGCCTGGTCTAGATGAGAGCAAACAGAGAGGGCTTCCCAAAGTGTAGCTTTCTGAGCTACACAGCAAAGAGTTTGTGATGTGAGACACCGAAAACACTTTCATTTAAAAAGTGAGCTAAGAGGAAAGAGGCTGGTGCTAGAGCAATAGCACAGTGGGTAGGGCATTTGCCTTGCACGCGGCCAACCCGGGTTTGATTCCCAGCAGAGAGAGAGAGAGAATAGGGTGTGAGTAGGGTGAGGCAAGAGAGAAAGGAATAATCTAGAAAGCCCTATTGTATCAGGATACCTAGACAGAAGGGAACATGAGCTCAGTTGAACAAACACCGTCCAGTTGGTAGCTCAGGCACTGGCCTCCTGGGACATATGCAGGACTCTGTGAGGGGCCAGAGCTTAAGCTGCGTCAGCAAGGTCACTGGGAAGGAATCGTACCTAAGGCTGAACTCAGGCATCACTGTAGGAGCAGAGAGAAGAGATAACTTAGAGATCTCTTGAGAGAGCATTTAGAATGTGATGTGTGAATGGATATGGGGTGTGGGAATGGGGAAACCCAGGGGTGCATCCACGTTTAAAGTTTCCCCACCCTGAGGATGGTCGACTCGCTGTGCAGAAAGAACAGACCTAAGAAACAAGGACCTTCCAGGCAACGGGAACAGCCTGAGCAGAGGCAAAGAGGCGTGGATGAGATCTATGTGTTCTGGGAGCATGAGGGGCCACTGCTTTGCTCATTCTTCTCAACCCTCCGGGCAGCAAAACCTTCTCACCCTGGTCTTGCCTGAACTCAGCTGTTTCTGGCATAAACTGGATAATAGTGGGTAACAGACCTAGGAAAAGTCTTTAAAACTCTCATTTTGCGGGGGTCACTCCCACATACACTCCACCTGCTGGTTCCTGCCTGACCTCCAACCCTGCCACTTGCACTTCCCAATCATTTTGCTCATATGCCAGGGTACCAGAAGCCCTGATGATTGGTGTGTCTTCGGACACCAGTGCCCAGTGGGTGCCAGTGTTCTAGTATCTCCTGCTTCAACATTCCGTCTCAGCAGAGGGCAAGCCACTGTAGATACAGAGCCATATTTAAGATCTAGGGCTGTGTGTGTGTGTGTGTGTGTGTGTGTGTGTGTGTGTGTGTGTGTAGAGAGAGAGAGAGAGAGAGAGAGGACAGAGAGACAGAGAGAGAAAGAGAGAGAGCTGAAGCACTAGTTTAATTCTCAGCATCACTTTCCCTCCTCCTCCTCTGTGGGTGGCCAGGTGTGACCCCAGGCCCTCTGGCATCGCCAGGTGTGACTCCAAAAAAAGTAAATGAAATACACACTCTACTACACCTCCTGCAATGGCTCAGTCTGCTCCGCCTTCAAAACCAACATGGGAAGCCAGGTTGTAAGATAAGGGCAGGAATCTGTGTATTTGCAAGATTCAAGCCTGGCAGGTGGGAGAAGTGGCAAACTGGTACCCACCTGGAGGTTTTGTTAGACAACAGTGTTTTCAACCCTGAGTGGCTTCAGGGGCGGTATCTTCCTTCGGGTTTGCCAAGGCCACGCTCTTTTCTGAGGTCTCAAGGGCAGAAACTGCTTTACTCTCTGTGCGCCCTCCCAGGATCTGGAGTGAGTAGAAGCGCGGGGTCAGAGATGTGGGTTCAAAACGGCAGAGATCTGGGCTTGGGCCCGTCTCTGACATTCTTTCCTTCTCTACATGTGGGTTTTTTGTTTTTTTGTTTTTTTTGTTTTTTTTTTTTTGCCTCTGGAAAGGACAGGAATGCTTTGCAGGCTTGCTGTGAGGCATAGGAGAAGGAAGTGCTGGCTGTTGTTCAGGATTAAATCTGCAAACAGCTGGCTTGGAGGTCTGTGGTCTCACCCGAAGGAGGGAGGGAGAATGAAAGCAGAATAAAAAGGTACGAGTCACAGGGAGCCGAGTTTGCGGCTTGAGGAAGCGGCAGCATAACCCGCAACGTGTGGAAACACGCAGTGCCAGGGAAGGGTTCTAGTATTAGATCACGGCTAACGGGGTCCCTTAACCATTCTCATCTCTGTTCCTCTGCCTGGGTTGCAGATAAGGCCAACCTCACCAAGCACCCACCGGTGGCAGTCCTGCCCCTGGGAACGGGAAACGACCTGGCCCGCTGTCTCCGCTGGGGTGGAGGTAAGTGTGCACGGGAGCACGTCAGTCCCGGCCTGCTCTTAGGAGTTCAGCCTCCCCGCACTTTAGGGGTCCGGTTCAACAGACAGACCCTCCGCTCACCTCCACAGTCAGCTCGACTCTGTGGCCACACCCCTGTCCCTCACTCTGCTTCATGTCAGGGCCAGTGCTGGCCCCTCCCATGTACTTCCTACCTTGCAGAAAACCAGCAGTGTAGAAGCTGCCTTCCCCACTGGATCTTCAGAAACGTTGGGGTAGCCAGGCCCCCTTTGTCCTCCCCTCCTCTGTCTGTCCCTGGAAGGGGCTGTTTAGACTGTAGTTTTCCATAGGAAATTCCCCCCTCTCCAAATTACTGATCTTTCTATGCATTCAAAACTCAGGAGGCAGTTTATCAGCCACGAGGGACCTCTGTGAACCCTCATTTTGAAATATTCCCCAGGCGGGCACCCAGAGTGGTCACAGAGTGAGGGGGCGAGAGCTAAGTAAAGAGAACTTTGCAATCAGCACCCCACCCCCGCCCCCGCCCAGCCCGGGCCTGCAGATGGCTGAGCAACTCCAGACCAGGCTGGACCGCGATCAGGGTTCAGAGCTGGGCGCATGCTTGTGAGCAGAGCCAGTTCAGGCAGAGATCTCGTAGGTGGGCTCAGAGTAAGCAGCCAGGGGCCTCAGCCACACACCGAGGCTGAGGAGGAGCCTTCTGTTCCAGAGAGATGCAGTTTGTCCCAGCAAGTGCTCTCTAGGAAGCATGACTCAGCACAAAGCATGACTCAGCACAGAGTTGGTGCAGGGGGCCCCAGAACAGCAACGGGGAGGGCCCTCGCCTCACCCGTGGCCAACCGGGTTTCAATCCCCAGCATCCTCTCTGCTCCCCACAGTCACAGCACCACCAGGAGTAGTCCCTGTCTGCAAAGCCAGGAGTAATTCCTGAGCATCACCAGGTGTGTTCCCCCCCAAAAAACAATTTAAAAAACATTTTTTTTAAAGTGCATGCAGAAACCCCAGCCCGGTGCTCCCAGCACGGCACAAGCCCTTAACCCCGGAGCTAATATCACTGCTATATCTGTCTTGTGACACATCCCTAAGGAGTTAGGCAAAGCCCTGGCAACCTGAAAATGCTCATCAGGATTGCCCCAGTACTAAGTAGTACTGAGTTGTTTGAAAGAAAAGACCTTCTCTCTTCCTACCCTCCCATCTTAATTCACTTTCATGGGTATTTTCAACTGCTGTAGTGTAACTAAGAATCATAGCGAGAGGCTGAAAGCATCCATTGACTAGGTCGCAGGCCCATTTATTTTATAACCAGTGAAGTCTTAGTGTGGACCTTTCTGTCCCTCCACATGTAGACTCCAAAGTCCTGAAGGCCTGGGGCTGGGCTAATGCATGACTCAGATGTGTGAGGCCCTGGGTTTGATTTTTGGTGCCTCCTGTGAGTGAAAGACAGAAGAGAGAGATTAACACAGAAATCTTGGAACATGACTGGATTCTCTGCTGGGGCCCCCCAGGCTGGAATCAGGATCCCTGAAGGCTCTGGGGAAGCATCTGCTTCTAATTAGACTCACTCAGGTGGTTGGCCAATTCTCTTCCTTGTGGGAGACACAGCCCCTCTCTCATCCCTGTTTGTCAGCCAGGAGCATTCGTGGTTCTTGCTACCTCCGCCTCCATCCTCCTGCCAGGAGGGTCCTCTTTCTTATTTTGAGCCACACCTGGTGGTGCCCAGGACATACTTCTGGCTCTTTGTTCAGGGGTCACTCCTAGCAGGGCTCAGGGGACCATATCTGGGGATCGAACCTGAGTCAGCTACGTGCAAGGCCAGTGCCCTGCTGGCTGTACTATCGCTCTGGCCCTTTAAACCTGTTTCTTGAGGAAAACCCTCAAGCTTTGTAAGGACTCAACCAGTCAGAGCTACCTAGCTACCCAGTTTCACCAGCCACTGGGCCACCTATTAAATCTAATCCTGATGATGATGGTGCCCTCTTGTCCCTAGGTTCCAGGGTGACGCATTTATGCCAGGGGATAGGAATCCTGGGACCAACCTACCATTCTGTGCACTGCATGTGCACCTGAGAGAGAGGCCCAGCAGAGCCTTTGTCCTCCCATCACCCACTCCCTAGCCATCCCGGCCTCCCAGCCTCCAAGGCCTGCCCCAGCAGAGCAGGCTAAGGCTCCCACCCCCATTCCTCTGCTCCATATCTCCCCAACTGTGTGTCCCCAACTCACTTCCTCCATGACCCAGGGGCCTCTGGTCCTCAGACACGGGGGATTCTCTGGGCTCAAGTACCATGGCGTGAGGGGGAGAGGGGAGGGGTGCTGTTTCTGACAGCTGCCTGTGTCTCAACTTGCCAGCTCTTGACATCTGGGGGTAAATGCGGTGCTGTGGTTCCACAGGCTATGAAGGGGGCAGCCTGACGAAGATCCTGAAGGACATTGAGCAGAGCCCCTTGGTGATGCTGGACCGCTGGCATGTAGAAGTCACCCCCAGAGAGGAGGTGGAGAATGGGGACCAGGTTCCATACAGCATCATGAACAACTACTTCTCCATTGGTGTGGTGAGTTGATCTTCCTGCTTGCGCAAGAAAGCCCAGTGTGTAAGGAGGGGCCTAGGTGTCCACTGTCTTTTCTCATCCTTGCTGGCCACAGGGCTTTGACTTGAACCCAAATACCCGCACATCTGACCTAAGGATGGACACCCCAATTGTACCAATACCCATCTTTGATTATTGAAGATATTTCTTCTTTCCCCCATAATTGTAACTAAGAAAATTAAGATAGATTTGTCCTTTGGATAATTTGAATAAGTTTCAAAAAGGAAAAGGCAGGGACAGGAGAGAGAGAGATAGCACAGGATTAAGGTACTTGCCTTTTATGCTGCTAAACCCTGGTTGATCCCCTGAGTACTGCCAGGAATGATCTCTGAGCACAAAGCCAGGAGTAAGCCCTGATCACTACCAGATGTGCCCCACCCTGCAGAAAAAAAGGCAACATCAAAAATTGACTACACCTTGTCGGATATGTATTCAGCAAATATCCTTTCCCATTCTGTAGACTGTCTTTGTATTTTGGTCACTGTTTCTTTGGAGGTGCAGAAGCTTCTTAGTTTAAGATAGTCCCATTTGTCTATCTTTGTTTTCACTTGCTTGACCAGTGGCATGACATCTTTGAAGATACCATTAGCTTCAATGTCATGCAGGGTTTTGCCAACTTTTTCAAATAAATAAATAAACCAAAAAAAATTGACTACATGTAGGCCAGAGAGATAGTATAAGGATTAAGACACTTGCCTGCAAGCCACTGACCCCAGTTCAATCCCTGGCATCATATATGCCCCTGAGCAGCACCAGCAGTGACCCCTGAGCACCTCCAGTATGATCTCCAAACCAGAAAATAGTGATAAGAACCTCAGAGGCTTGAGAGGTAGTACAAAGGTTCAGGGGCATTGCTTCTGGAGACCCCCAGCACCCGAGGATCTGAACAGCACTGCACCTCAGGCCTTTGACTTGACCAAGAATCACCGGGAAGGGCCTCGGTTTCTCCTGGGCACCATTTTGGAGCCCCCCCAAATAAAATAATCACTGTCACTATCACTGTCCTCCTGTTGTTCATTGATATGCTCGAGCAGGCCCAGTAACGTCTCTATTGTGACACTTGTTAGTGTGTTTGGTTTATCAAATACATCACGGGTAGCTTGCCAGGCTTTGCCGTGCAGGAAAGATGCTCTCGGTAGCTTGCCGAGCTCTCCAAGAGGGGCGGAGGAATCGAACCTGGGTGGGCCGGGTCGGCCGTGTGCAAGGCAAAAGCCCTACCCGCTGTGCTATCGCTTCAGCCCAAATAAAATAATAAAATGATAAAATAACCACAAGACAAGGTCAGGAAGAGACATCTCGTGTGAGTTTGAAGAGTTTGGGGGTTCTGAAAAAGGAAATGTTTATAGTACCGAGCTGACTTAGCTCACAGAATTCATTCTTTCTTACTCGCTCCCTCTCATCCCAATCCTGTTCCCTCCACTCCAAGGGCTTTGGGGCAACTTGTCTCTGATCTATATTGAGCTCTGCCTCCCCCTTGGAGTCTCCTCATTCTTTTGCCCACCATCATGTACTGTCTGCATTAGACTAAAGGATTAGTTTTATGTGTCTGTCTTCTTCCCTATATGTGCACATAAACACAGATATTCACACACTTACACGCACATGCATGTGCATGCACGCACACACATACACACACATTCACACACTCACACACGCCACTCTCCTTGCTTCCCCAGCACCCCGCCCCCCATATCTGCAGCAACTCAGTTACTTTGTTTTACTGAACTCAGCTTCTAGCAGGAAGAAAATCAGATGGAGAATGTTGGGGACAAGTTGGAGGAGGAACCAGGTGGGTCATTTCCATGACTAGATCAGGAGTTTAGGAGGGAGTGTCTCAAGGATGCTAGCAAGGGTTAGCACCTGCTGACGGCTTCCCACTGTGCTAGACTAGTCTGGTGCTCCCAGTAACCCACAGTGATAACTGTGCCTGCTGTCCCTGAATTACAGAGAAGGACCGAGCACAGTGCCAGAGACGGGAGAAGGTGCTCAGGGATACTGTGCCTCACTCTAAAGCCAGGGCCTGCCCTCTCTTGTTTCTCCCTTTGAAATGATGCTCGACCAGCCTGACATTCTGTTTAGAATTTTGCTATCTGATTATATAAGAGTATGAGTCCCTCCAGACCGACCCTCTAGCCTGAGATTGATCCTCATCTACCATCTTTCCTGTGCTTGTTTACATTTTACTTGGTAATTTTTTTAAGGGGGAAAGAAAAGGGGAAGAACAGATTTAAGGAAAGGGTTTGTGTTTTTATAAGCCTAAAAGGAGACCTATGGGTAAGGAAAGGATTAAAAATAATAATACCTTATATTTACAGGATTTAAAATATACCATATCTACCAATATGATTCCTATGACTGCACAGAAGAATAGTATTAACTGCATCTTATCGGTGTGGAACCGGTCAGATTAAAGGGATTTGCCTTCCTTTTCTGAGTCCTAATCCAGCACTCTTGTTCTATTAGTAAAACAGAGAGAGCTTTGTTTGTTTGTTTGTTTGTTTGTTTGTTTGGGTCCACACCAACCTGGCTCTGCATTCAAGAATTATTCCTGTCAGTGCTTTGAGAGACCACATGAGATTCCTAGTATCCAGCCTTGGAATAGTTTGATCATTCCAAGGGTCATCCTCTTGTACGCTGTACTATCCATCTAAAACAGAAGAGAGAGGCATAGCTGGACCCACTTTCAGGTGTTGAGATGATGGAGACAGCATGTAGAGCATCTAGTTATCTCTCTAGACCCCTAGCCTCAGTTGAGGAAAACATCTTTTCTGGGCCTCTTCCATTTCCATCCTCTGACTTGAGTAGGTCTCTCCCTACTCTCCTTGGCTCCCAAGTCCTTCTTGTACACCTGATCAGACTCTACTTTCTCCTACTGGAACACAGTCTTGACTCCTACAAATGAGACATAACTTAGAGATCTTCTATAAGGGGCTTCTGGAGTATGGGCCTCCCACCAGTACAGTTTGACAAAGCATCCTGTCTTTTTTTCTATGGAACCTGAGCATAACTTGCTAATATTTACCCTCTGCACAACAGGTACAGTTTTCTTACTGGTAGACACAGCCCTTATTTTTTTGAGTTTTGAGTCCTCATTTTTTTGAGTTCTGGGAATAAACTGCAGCTAAGACAATTGCAGACTGGTTAGTGGTGGTTGAACTCCAGGAACCTCTTGAGTTGTGAATCGCCGAGCCATTCAACCTCAACACAGCCCCTCTTTCTACATGCTCCAAATTCTGCAGGATTTGCAGGGGGGGGGGGGGAATCCTCAAATTTTCATGTGTAATAGATCATTACCCCTGCCTTCTGTCAGAAATTCAAATATGATTTCCCTGATTGTTGTTCTGATTCAGCCTATCTAGACTAGGTCTGGGAATTTATTTACATTTCTTAAGAGACCCTGAGATCATTCTGATGCAGATGGTGTCAACCTTGTCTTGAGTGAGTGAAAACAACCTTTTCAGTAGCTAATGGTCAAAGGAAGTCTTCCATAATTGGCCAGAGACTAGAACTGAGGAAAAATAGAAAGATAGAAAAGAAGGGAGATAGAAAGGAAAGGGAAGACAGAAAGGAAGTTAAGGAAAGATAGAAAAGAGGGGAACCCCATAACTTTAAGAAAACCTCCCCTTGGCTGGCTTGCCAAACCCTAATCCTAAGAACCAAGACTGGTCATGGGCCTAATACCCTCTCACAAATAAGTTGGAAGGAAGGGAGTGTGGGAAGGAGAGGAAAGAAAGGAAAGACAAAGAGGAATTAGGAGGACAGGAAAAAGACTGGTCCCCCAGGTCCCCCCAGGAAAGCCCATGCAAACTGATTCTTCATCATGGCCAAGGTATTTCTTTCTTTGTGCTGACTTAAACTAATCCAACCTGTTCATCTTTAAAATTATGAAGAACTCCACACTGTCTCCCTCGTGATTTTTCTCCCACCAAGTTCTCGCTTGTGCATGCTTAGCATTTGATTACAAAGTACTGAGCCACCAGGATTGTTTTTATCTCATCGGTGTACTGTCAGCCTTCTCTCAATAAAATGTTTGCAGGATTTGTGTGCTCGCTCTTTAAAAGTTGGAAAGGGAAATTCTTGAGAAAACAAGTAACCAACACGCAACCCTAACAGAATCTGGGGCTGACATTTGCAGAAGCTCTTGCTCCCTATTTGACTTCCCAAACTTTGCAAGAGGAGAAGTAGGTATGTAAACCAACCCACAGTGTAACTTCCTTATGATTAGAGTCAGTCTCCCTTGGCAAAGAGAGCTCTGCAAAGACTTTGGCAAGGTCCTTGCCTCCTTTGAAGGACCTGGAACATCTTACCGGCATCAAATGTCTACTGCCTTGCATTTATAAAGGTGATGACAATCACCGCCGGCTTGTGTTACCTTGAGGTGGTAAGAATTTGCCCTGACAGTTCAGTCAGTCCCCTCGATGCCAGCAGACCCGATTACAAAGTGGAGGGATAAGAAGCAGGGTTGACTCTCCTGCCCTCACCAGGAAGTGACTAGGTTGTCCTTGTCACAACATTCCCATCACTTACACATATATGCCAGATCACCACCAGCGAGGAATTGAGCTTCTTGATTTTCTTAGTCCCCCTGAGTGATAACATAACTGGCAGGAAGTTTAGACACAGTCATTCAGGATGCTACATCTTCCGACTCCTCTGGCCTCCTCCCTGATCTTTATTTTTGGATTTGCAGAAATGTCAGGATGGCCAGGTATCAGTAACAGGAAGTTGGGGACTGCAAAATAATTCCTGGGGTATGTGTAAGTCTGAAAACCGCAAAGGCTCTGCTTTCACTGAGCTTTAACAGGATGAGTGAACAGCTAATCCCTTGAGTCAATGAAATCTATTTCTGATGTTAAGGAAACCCAGTGGCCGAGGAGGCCACAGGCGTCACAAAAACCCACCTCGCTAAGTATATTTCTCAGACTTCACTACCCACAATCACAAGTTAACTTGTTAGTTTTCAC